GTTGGCCGCCCGTTTTTTCATTGCGACCATTTCTGGATTTGTATCTGGCAGAGTGTCGTCTATCAGATAGGCCCGGATGCCGTCCATCCAGGTTGAGCTTCGGTCAAGTACTCCAATGGGATCTTCTTCAATACTTCGCTTTTCCATTACTTCCCAGAAGAATGACCGAGACGTATCACATGAGGCAGATGAGGCCAATTTGGACAGAGCATCCGCCTAGTTGTTCTCAGATTTGGGCACCTGACTTAAGTGAAATTCATCAAGTATCACAGCTTCAGCTTTGACCGCCTGCAAGTATTTTATCATGGCCGGATGGGTGGCCTCATAGTCACCACGGTACTGGCTAACGACCAATTGTGTATCAGAGCAGTCGTTAATTTTTCTTGCCCCTGCGGATACCGGCTAGCAGGGCTTCATATTTTGCCTCGTTATTTAAGGCTTGAAACTGAGACCGTAGTACATATTCATACTTGTCCCCTTCAGAGGACTGTCATATAACCCCTGCACCATCGTCGTTTAAAGTAGAGCTCCCGTCTACATACACTTTCCAAACCTGGTCAAGATTATCCGGCTTAGCCGGCCTTGTCATTTTGACAATGAAGTTGGCAAACGCCTGACCCTTCACTGTCTTCCTTGGTTTGAAAGAGAGTTCAAGACTTTTCATTTAAATAGCCTATTTGAGCATCCTACTGGATGACTCCAAGGTTTTCATTAGCCGCTTGAGGGGTTGGTCTGTGTAGACCACAACCGGATGTGCCAAGAAGTAAGACTTCAACTTCTTGACTGCCATGAAAAGAGCCAGGCCAAATTTTTCAACCATTGGGTACCGTAGTTCAGCATTTCGAAGAACATGGCTAATGAAATAGATCAGAAGCTGGATGCCGTCTCTTTCAGCAAGGAGAACAGCACTGAGAGCATGGTCTGATACAACTAAGTACATGTAAAGCGTCTCCTTTGGCAGAGGGCTAACAAGCCTCGACAAAGAATGTAAATGTTCTTTCAATTTCTAATAAGTCACCTTAGCATCATCCCCCTATTCAAATCTAGTCTTCTTTCTGATAGCTTGGAAAAAATAGAGGCACTTGTCATCTGACCGGCTAAAGAATCTCCCCAATGCCGCCAGGCAACGTGTTAACTTCTGAACTTCTTTGACAGTGCGGGGTGACTTCATGTCAATGACCGACTGTATCTTCTTTAGGTTGGCCTCTATTCCCCTTTGATCAATCAAAAATCCGAGAAACTTCCCAGACACAACACCAAAGATGCAGTTCTTGGGATTGAGCGTGACCTTGTGCCGCCTGAGTGTGGTGAAGGTTTCTCAGAGATCAGCAAAATGATCTGTCTGTAGCTTGGATTTGACTATCATGTCATCAATGTACGCCTCTACATTCCTCCCAATTTAATTAATGAAGACTGTATTAATCATTCGTTGGAAAGTAGCAGGCGCAATTTTCAAGCCAAACGGAATCATAGTATAGCAGAATAACCCCGATCAGTGATGAATGTCGTCTTCTCTTGATCTATATTCCACAAGGGTATCTGATGAAAGCCTGAATAGGCGTCCATAAAGCTCATCAAAGCATGTACGACTGTAGAGTCGACTAGACTGCCGATCTTTGGAAGTGGAAAACTATCCTTCAAACATGCCTTGTTCAAGTTAGTGTAATCAACACACATGCGCCAAGTACCATTCGACTTCTTTACAAGCAAAACATTCGTAACCCAATCTGGAAAGTGACATTACCGAATGAACCCGACGTCTAACAACTTTTTCACTTTAGCCGTTGTTGCCTGACTTCTCTCCTCGCCGTGGTTTCTTCTATTTTGCCTAACCGGCTTCTTTTTGGGATCCACAACGAGATTGTGGACAGCTAGATCCGAGCTGTTGCCTGGCATTTCTTCCACTTCAAAGGCAAAGAATTCCTTCAACAAATTGTGCAAGTCTGCACCCAGCTTTGCAAGAGCAGCCGGCCCAACCTTAACAGTACGCTCCGAATGGCTAGAATCCAGAGCAATATCAACATGTTCACCAGCCGGCTGGGGACGGAGTTCATTTGACGATTCCCTGGTCAGTGATTGTTATTGCTTCTCTTTTTTAACGACCACCAACTAATCAGCCTTTCTGTTCTTGCCGGCTGCTGTTGGAGCAGGCTCGACTTCCTTGACATCGTCAAGGTCTATTTTCTCCTCACCCCGGCCAGCTGCGGCCACTGTAGACTTGACGTCTGAGAGGTAGCACTCTCTAGCCGTCTTCTGGTGCCCGTTCAGGGAGCTAACAGACCCATCATCCTTCTCAAATTTTAGCAGCATGAGGGATGGAACAATGACGGCCTTGGACTCGTCAGACGACCTAATATCAGATTATAAATAGTCATCTCCTCCACGACTAAGAACCAGACAACCATGTGGCGTCCCTCTCCTTTCTCCCCCAACTGGATGGGTAGTTCAATTCATCCGACGGGGTGCGCAACCCCACCCCCAAAACCAACCAAGAGGTGAGACACCTTGTGCATGCTGTCGGGCTTGTACTTCAGCTTTGACAAGCACTTGTAGCTGATGATGTCAGACGAGCTTCCGATGTCAATGAGGATCCGGCTGACCTTCAGGTTGGCCACTTTGCACTCAATGGAACTGGGGTCATCATGCTGTCGGCGAACCTTGCCCTGTCCTTTTCAATGATGATGAACTTAGAGATGATGTCAGTAGACGTCTAACCCACATCAACTGAACTCAACCAGCCGTCTGACATGGTCCTTAGTGCCCCTGATGGTTGGGCCTCCTCCAGCAAAGTCGCCTACTATTGTGTTGATCGGCTCTTTGTCAGTGTTCGAACTACTAGCAGGTTGGGCATCCTTTATGGACGACTGCCCGGGATTTGTCTTCAGGGTTACCTTAGAATTCAAGATGTAGGACTTCAACACCCCCTCATCAGACAGACGGTCCAACAGCCGCTTGAGATTATAGCAATCGTTGGTGTCGTGGCCAATATCCTCATGTAAGTGGAAGTACTTGTTTTTGTTCTGATTTTTGGCGAAACCTTTCATAGCGGCGGGCTTCTCTATGGTCACCCAATCCTTTATCTCCATGAGGATGGAGTACCAGTCTTTGTTAAACTCGTACTTTGGGACGTACGGTTTAAACTCTTTCTTTTTCTTTTGGGACGGCTAATCAGAGTTGTCAACCGCCCAGATCTCTTTTCTCTTCTTACTCTCTTCAGCTTTCTGAGCCGGTTGAGCTTGCCGACTCTCTTTTTTACCAGACTTCTTGGAGTTCGATTGCTTGCTGATGGAGCAGAGCTCGGTCGCCTGTATATAGGCTTCCAACTCCATCAGCGCTTCCTGGAGGGTGGCAATTAGGGGTGGCAAACAGATCAGGTCGGGTCATTTTAGTGTTCGAGCCATTTCGGGTTCATGTTGAAACCCGCCAACCTGAACCTGATCTGTTTAGCATTTTGGGTCAAAATTCTTAACCCTAACCTAATTTTTCTAGGTTCGGGTCAACCAGAAGTTGACCTGATATTTTTAATTTTTTTTTATATTGAAAAAAATTTATTACCAATAAAAATCATAAAAAAAAAACTACTAGTAAACAGGTCATTTCCGACAGAAATGAATTACCTTGAATTCCGTCGGAAAACCTTGTTCCGACGGAATTTCCGTCGGAAAGGGTTGTCGGAAAACCTGTTGTTGGAAAATCGACCTTTTCCGACGGAAATTTCGTCGAAATAGCTTTTCCGTCGGAAGAAGAATTTTGGTACCGAAAAAATCCGTCTAAAAATTCCTCCGGAAACTGGTGAAATAAAATAATAAAAAAAAAACAGGCCGCACTACTACCGGCGCGGCCTGTCACCATCTTCAGCCACCCAAAAACCCATTTCAACCCCACCCTCATTGTAACGCACCCAAACTACCACAACAACCATAAACAACACCAACCAAACCCACCCCAACTGCCCAGAATACCAAACCCACCCCATCTCCACCCATTAACCGTACCCACCACAAACACCAAAAACCTATATCCCCCAACCACCACCACCTAACCCATACCCACCAAACCCTAACCCCTAACCTGAACCCACCCAGCATACCCACCAAAAAACCACCCACAACCGCTCAAAAACCACCCATACCCACCCAAAAACCACAACCACAACCGCCCAAAACCACAACCACAACCCAAGCAACGGAACAATGTGTAAAAAAAATTAAAAAAAGAAAAGAAAACATGCCAAAAACCACCCACAACCGCCAAAAACCTCAAATTTGGTTTAATATGGCCAAATTCGACCATGAAACATCTAGATCTAGAGGTTTCATGGTCGAATTTGACCAAAAAAAACCATGAAACACCGCACCTCCATGATGCGAGAACCGCCACCGTAAAGCCACCGTAGAACCGCCACTGTAGGGTTATTTAATAGAATTTGATTGGAAAAATGTAATTACGCGACATACTTTAGCATTTGTTAACAAGAAATACGAGAAGAAGAGAGGGGAAATACGCGAAACCACAGAAAAAGGGAAATAGCATAAGAGGAAAGAGAAAGAGAAGAAGAGAGGGGAGAGAAAGAAAAGAAAGGCGGAGAGAAATGAGAAATAAAAGGGGAGAGGGGATTTCCAAGATTTTAGGGGTTTATTTTTTTGTTTTTTTTAAAAAAAAGCCATAATTCCGTCGGAAGGGCTTTAAATTCCGTCGGAAATTTCTGACGGAATTTAAATCCGTCGGAAAGTTCCTACGAATTTGAAATCCGTCGAAAATTAATTAACTTCCGACGGAAAATCCATCAGAAACTAAGTATTTTCTGACGAATTTTAATTCTGTCGGAATTTTCCGACGGACATTTTAGATTCGTCGGAAATCTCCGACGGACATTTTAGATTCGTCGGAAATCTCCGACGGAATTTAAATCCATCGGAAATGTCGTTTTTTCCGACGGATTTTTGAGTCCATTGGAACACGTCCGTTAAAAATTGACCTTTTTCTAGTAGTGCAAAATCAATACAAGTTGCATTTCAACTTAGATAAATCTGTAAATCACAAGTGAAAATAAACGTCTTAAATTTTCAGCCAAAACTTCAAATTAAAAGGATTTGAAACTTAAATTTACAACAAATTTTAACTTCTCAAAATCCTTCATATGCGTTCTCTGTAAATTGTTGTTCTTTCCTGCAAACAAGAACAAAAATACATTAATAAATATTCAAATCATCAATTTAGATTATACAAAATCAACTTTTAGTAATATGTATATTCAATTCCAAAATAAATCTTCTATTAACAATCATAACACCATAAACATTACGGCAAAGTAGTACATGTATTTATCACAAATTTCATAAACCTTCCTTGCATGCTTTGATTTAGAAATTGGTGACATAGATAGTCATCTTAAAACAAGAAGTATTAAATCAAACAAGTAGATCTAGATATTATAATACAAGCTAAGAACATCTTTTTAGTTAAATCAAAAAATTCAGATCTAAGTACAAGAACACAACATCAACAAACCATTAATAAGTTGATAATTATTTGCAAAAAAGTCGACCAAATTAACAAAAGAAAGACCAACCTTTTGTCACAAGGATTGAGTTGAGGACGTGGAGGTGGAGGTGACTTAAAGGAGAAATTTTTCGAGCTTCAACCGAGTATGCACAGAGTGTGGAGGGATTCAAACGTTTAATGGAAGAAAGAGATTAGAAAGAAGATAGGAGAGAGAAAAAAAAGGTATTTGTCTTTCAAACAAATGAAATGCAAGTCAAGAGGCAAGGAATGTGATAAGCTTTATATATATAGGGTTTATATTAGGTAAGGGCTTCAAGTATTCGTATTTGGGCTACTTTAGTTAGCCTAAATATTCAATAAATCACACCCTTTACTTCAGGTTATCAGGTCGGGTTCGGGTTGACCCGACTGGATTTTGACCCGAAGATAATTTCGGGTTAAGTCGGTTTTTTTTGGGGTTGGAATTTTCAACCTTAACCTAACCCATTTAATTTCAAGTCGGGTTTCGTGTCGACCCATTTAAGTTTTCGGGTCTAAAATCTCAACCCTAACCCGCTATTTTCAGGTCGGGTTCGGGTCGGGTCAGTTTTTGCCAGCCCTAGTGGCAACCCTCTTTCTGACGAGGTCAAACTTAAAAGTCAACCCGTCCTTCAGAACCTTGAAGAAGTCTGTATAAGCCACATCGTCAGACTGAACCACCTGACGTATGACCGAAGTCCTTCTCTATCCCTCTGCTGCACAGCACCCAAGTCAAGACTTGTTTTCTTGGCAGGTATATTCATAGAGAAGTTAGAAGCAAACAAAAACGCAAGCGTCTTGAAGCTATTGATACAACCGGCTGGCAAATTGCCAAACTGTTGTTGGGCGATGACCTTCAATGTAGCCGGGAAGCATCAGCACCAGGTGGCGTCATCCAACCCCTGCAAATACATGAGGTTGGTGTAGGCCATGAGGTGGTCTTTAGAGTTGGTGGTACCATCATAAGTACCCACCAAAACATTTTTAAACCTTGGCTAGTTGTGCCGCCTCGGTTATTTCCCTGGAGAACGCAGAAAGTTGTTCCCAAAGTTTTAGCAGACAGAGCTGCCAGTCCCAAGGTTGGACGTTTTGTGACGCCTGACCCCCAAAGAGGTCCGGTTGCATGTAAGGTTGTCCATTTGGCATGTATGGCTGCTGAGGCACATATGGGGCCGAATGGATCATCTGAGGGCGAGTGTGGACGGACGAGGCGCCTGACTGGCTCTCTCGTATAGATTGAGAATACCTCATCGAGGTATTCTTGAAGCTGTTTGGGAAACTCGACGTTGAAACCGACTCAGACAGTTATTGATTTTTCTTTTTCTAGGTGTAAAGGCGAGCATTAGAAAATGTCCTCTTGGTGCCATCTGACGAACATGCCGAATGACCTTCTTCTTCTCTTTCTCGGGGAAGCGGAACTTAGACAAATCAATCAAGGGCCGAGTCCCCTCGTTTGTGTTAGGATGTGGAGTGGGCTCTCGGTCCCTGACAGACTTGTTCTTCTCAGAATGAGAAGGCTTCTTGGCCAACTGACCCTTGTTGAGACCAACCGTCTTCTTGGAGATCAGGTCCTTCATTTTGTCATGAATTTCATGAACTCGTCTCGGGTGATGTGAGCAGACTGTCCTGTCGCTTGGGGCTGGTCGGATGACTTACTCGGACCTGCCTGACCATCGTCTCGTTCCTTGTTTTCTTTGGAACGGATGCGCCTTGTAATGAGGGATCCATCTGCGGCCGTATATGTTTCGACCTCTGATTCCGTATCATGGTCTGCCGTAGGCTGCTTATTCTCAGGAAGCGGTATAGTCTCTTGAGAAACCATCTTAGAGGTACTCTCCCCACAGACGACGCCAAATATTTCGGGGTTTTCTATGTCCCTCAGGAGAGTTACGTCACTAAGCCTGGATTCTAGGCACCTGTACCTGCAAGATAATGGAGACTGCAGGTGGTAGGAGATCCATTTCCGATGATCAAGTTAGAATCGGTCGAAGAATGTAAAAAGGTGTGGAAAAGGTAAAGTGAGATCAGGTGTTTTCTCTGATGTAAGAGAATTTAATGTTTGTAATAAATGAAAGTGTCCATGAAATGGGGAAAATCTCCCTATTTATAAGGTCATTGAAAAAGGTGTCCTTTCTTAGGTCATCTTGACCTAGATTTGGTGGGCTGGGCCGTTTTACGGCTTACTCGGGAATTGGGCCGTGAAGGCTGCCTCTTTCCTTTACTGATTGGGGATGTCACGTGTCAGCTAGTGAGTGGCCCTTATTGGACTTGTCTTGGGGTGACACGTGTCCCATTCTAATTGGGCCACATAACATGGGTATTTTTACCCAAATCACCATTAATATTCATATAATTTGTACGTAATGTCTTTTATTTTTTTGGTTTAATTTTTTTCATTTTTTTTTTTTTTTTGGTTTTTTTGAACCATCAATTTAGTTACAGTATCATAGTATGATCTAAAAAGTTATGTAGAGCATAATTATCAGCGGCAAATGTTTGCAAATCTTGAGCGTGAAAATTGAATACTAGTAGTAGTGCAGCAAATAATACTTTATTCTGTAATTCTGTTTAAGTGGACTAAACTTAAATTCTTAATTGCTGGAATACGGAGTATTAATCTGATTGCTGACAAGATTTGTCGGGTCTTTGACTAATGTTTTCAGTGGTGGGACCCACTAAAGTTGAATTTTATTTTTAATAAAATAAAACAAATCAAATGTAACGAAAGAAGTAGCGACAAACGACAAAGCATTGTGGGATGGGAGACTGCATGTTGACTTAAATTTGTCGTTTCAAATACGTAATTTTTTTTTTTTTTAAAATTAAGAAAAGGACTCAATTCCTTGTAAGTTTAGTCAGTACAGCTTCGCATGTCAATGTTTGAAAATAGAGAAAAAAATTAAGGAAATTGCTCTACTCTCAAACAAATGTAGTTGGGTGAGTCTCGAAATCGTGACCTTAAAACACAAGGTAAGTTTTCCACCGACAACACGAAGCTTTGCTTGGTCCAAACATATAAATTATGGAGTAGCTCTTTAATTTTTGGTTGTTCAATGCAGGGGCTATTTATAGTAAAATACTTATAATATGTTTTAACAAATAAGGAGTTTGAAAGGAAGACAAAGGGGTGAACCAACCAATAGAGTTAAAGAAATTAAGTCAGAGGAAATATGAATGAATTTAAGTTGGTTACATTTAATAAATTATTTAAAAGTACTTATTTTTATCATAAATTTTATACTTATACATTGTAAAAATTAGATTAAAAAAAGTAAAGGAGAGTATAACATGTGGTGCTATTTCTTTGCCTTATTATAGACTAGTATAGAGTAGTACTCCGTGATTTAGCACTATATATGTTTCATTATTCTCCTCATGTGTCATTCTTTTTAATGCATGTACTATGATTTTCAGTCATTTCAGATACTAGGCCATTATATGGAATTATGGAGTACATTCAATCCTCATGCTTTGAGATATTTGAAGAGTTCTGAAACAAATGTCAAAAAGATTTTATTGTTTTATTAGGTTTGACTGTTTGATTAATTGATCGATTTATAGTAGGTTGGTTGAACTTTTTCAACATTTCAACCATGCATGAAATTTTTGTAGTTGGGATTTAGAAGGAAGGATAGCAAGAATAATATCAAAGTCAAATAGCATAAGCTACTATTGTTATTATATATAGAGTTTGAATTCTTACACTCCCCTTTTTAAAAAAAGAAGTATGCATGGTAGATCGTACAAAGTAGTAATTAATTGCAATTATACTGTAATTAAATTTATGAAGTATGCATGGGATTTATAATCATGCACTATAATACTCGATCATATTATCGTTGACTTAGAGTTACTCAACTAATGCATCAAACTATTAATAGTGTTGTTATTTTTCCAATTTTCTATACTATAGAATGCCATACATAATTTTGAAATTTCATGTGGGTATTAAACTTGTTAATTTACTTTGTATATGGACTACAAAATATTTTAACAAACGATAGTTTCTTTTTTGACATATATACAAGTTTAAGTAATCAAATATTCAACAAGTATAATCATTTGATTGAATATGAAACTTTGATTTTTATACCTTTCTTTGTTATGACGCATCACGCATGATACCTAACTTTCGAGTTTTAATTTTATTTCATAAATTACACTTCTTAATATCATTTGCACAACGGCACAAGTGCATTATTTTACTCTGTTTTTGAGGAAAGTAGATGCGCTAATGTATAATGTGAACGTCTAATGCTTATGCTTAAGGAAAGGAGTTAACTTGCTTTATTAGAAACCCTCGATTTTAAATTTATAGATCATGTAGTTAAGCCGAAATTTATTTATTTGTACTAATAATTGGCCTCTTCTCTTAACATTTGTCACTTCGGTGAATAGAGAAGTAACTATTATAGCGCATATTTAGCTTTAAAATAGTATGACATCGTTGACTTTTTGCTTTTCTCGTGCCGAAGAGGGAGACATTAGTAGGGAAGACTCTTCTCATGGTAAAAAGAATTATCATATATTCTCAATTTAATATGGGATATATGAAAATTTATGGTCAAGTGGGGATTGATTGTTCGAGTCATCTGATCTATATATATTTTCATAATATTTATTTTTGTACACTTTTTAGCCTTTTATAAAATATATATAAAGATTAAGTGGATACTAAAAAAATGAAAAATAGTTGAACTATTTAGTAACGAAAGAAATACATCACTACTATATTATAGAGCGGTGAATAAGGATTTCTCTTTTAAAAAATTCTTCTAATTAACACATTAGACTAGATTATATAAATGAATTGTTTGGAGTTCAAGAATAATTTTGCTATCAAATATGATATAAAATTTTTTCATAAATATAAAATTATACTTCATATATATCAAACATGATTCAGGACGTACATACAATTAAATTTATAATATCGTATCACTATGTAGTGGATTTATTTTTAATTAATTATTCTTCATTCTAATTATATACATACTAATATACGGTATAATAAATAATAATGGTCCCCAAATCCGTGATTAAACTAATCAAGTGTGTGAAAGGCGTAGTCAAGTGCGCAACATGTTGGGTGGCTCAACCTTGAAGACATCGAGATGGAGAGGGATGTGTAAATGTGTAATAGATATGACCAAAAGGTCCACGTGATCCATGCACTATAAACATGACAAAACTTGCCTTAATAAAACTTTGTATTGGTCATCAGACAAAAATCTCAAGTCAAAGACGGCAAAGCATTCGTAAATTAAAAGCTGCGAAATTTCAAACTGCTCGCATATGTTTTTGTTTCAAAGAAATATATACGATGGCAGTGCCAGATTAATAAAGGAGTCTTCGTCGTCGTCGTAGAAATGCCGCCGAATTTGGAAAAGCGCGCAAAGAGAATACGTGATGGAGTTGGCTACTCCTACTCGTGTAACACCATGTCCAAATCGTCGAATGTTGTACATTTATTTTCGAGTAGGTCACTTCCAATTTAATATGCTTAACCCAAGTGATGGAAGTGGCATTCTTCATCCAAGAAATAAGCTTACATCATCTATCTGACTGTCTCTCTCCTAAATTAATATTTAGTACTCTGATGGAGTCTTAATATACATGACATGTACATGGATCGCACTGATTTGTACAAGTATAATAGTATAATAATTGTTAATTTTGAAGGTGCTTCTATCGGAATTTACCAGCGGAAAACCCAATTTTATTTTATTTTTTATTTATTTTATTTTTTACGTTTTTTTAGGTTATAATAATGTCTCCCTCGAAAGAAAGGGTTTATGTCTTTCGAAATACAATGTTTTTTTAACCTCCTTCGAAAAACAAGGTTTTATTTGCGCTTAATAGGGTCTCTAGTTGTACGGGGCTACGATTGATTATGGCTCGAATTCGGTTTATGAAATCAGCACAAGAAATTTCTTTCTCACAAAATTATGAAGCGGCGACGAATCCACTCAAAAAGTTGTATGATACCACGAATTGGAAATGTGCCGAAGTGTTGTATCTATGTATTAGGATTCTTAGCTCTTCCCCGATTAATTCTTGTTTGATTTTGTTATTTGTGTTTTCATTGTCATTAATTGTCAATTGTAGATGTCATATGGTTTTATTTTATGAAATTTAAGGTCCTTTAGGACTTCTTTCAAAAAAAAAAAAAAGGGTATAATAATATAGTATATATGACAATATGATATCATTTTTGAATTTTGACTGTTTATATCTCTAATTATGTCAATTGTAGAAAGTTATTGTTTTGATATGAAGTACTTTATAACATATATATATATATAGTTTCCCTACACATTGATATTCCTTTGGTTCTTTCTTTATAAATATTGTTATTTGATTAATTTGTTTGAATGAGTTACTAAGGCCCTATTCTTTTGAATTTTTGGGCAGAGCAGAGCAGGAGTTAGCAGAGCAAATTAGATTTCAGCACGGTAGAGCATTAATGTTGTTGTTGTTGTTGTTGTTGTTGTTGTTGTTGTTGTTGTTGTTGTTGTTGTTGTTGTTGTTGTTGTTGTTGTTATTATTATTATTATTATTATTATTATTATTAACAAGTGCACACCGCTGATTTAGGTGGATGAAATATTAAATATCAATAATTAATAATTATTATTATTGTTTTTTTAAACACATTATTTATTACCATTGATACAATATTAATTATTATTATTATTAAATATTAATTATTATTATTATTATTAATTATTATTTGAAAACAGAGCACAACAGAGTAAATTTGAGCAGAGCAGAGCAGCTCTAAAGAAAAGGGCCTAAGAGGAGAGATGATTCTAACCTATGATGCATACACGCCTACACGGTCTCTCAACCTTGATACGGACTACAAAATAGTATTTAGTACTTCATTCGTTTCTTAATATATGCAATAAGTTGACTTTTGAAATTAAGCAAGGAAAGAAGTAATTACTAAAAAAAACTTTTATTTAAGTTGAGCCAACAAGTGGATGCTGGATGTATATTTAAAAAAAAAAAAAGGCAACCTGGTATACCAGGCCATGTACCCTGTATAAACTCCTGGCCCTGGTTTATTAGCTGTATAATCCTTTAGCCATAATTTATTATGAGCACGAAGTAATACATTTAGTCACAAATAGTTGGACCTTGCCTGTCAGTCATTTGGTCATTACTCACTCATTGGGTCAAACGAGTAGGGTGGTCCAATAAAGATGTTACTTTTGCCGTTTACGAATATCAAATCCAAACAAAAAACGGGCCTGGGCTATTCTGTTTGTGTTGGCCCAGCCCATTGAATAAATCATTAATTTGTAGTTTGTATGATCTATGACTGTACTTCGACTACTTTTTTTTAATTATTTTTAAAAAAAATTTGATTTTCAATATTTTTAATTTATTTTTAATTAAATTTCTATGTTATATTGATCAATTAAAGCACTAAAAAAACAAATTGATAATTTTAGGCGACAAGGCGTTATGAAAGATTCAAATTCAATAAATTACTCGGTTAAAAATATAGAGTACTTTTTTTACCTTCGGTATGTCGTTCTTTATTTCTACTAATATATATCAATTGATAAGTTGTTTTTAACTTTTGATTCATACAAAGTACTGTATAAGCTTAGTAAAAGTGGAATTAATCAAGTGAAATTTGGAAAATGATTGAGGATAACTAAACATAATTATTGTTAAATTATGTATTTATTGATCATACTTTTTTTTCGTAGTTGATCATAAAATATTGTATTGCTATATGCCTATATGTACATCTTTTCCACACCAGCACATAAAATTAGCTAGGCTTTAGAACTAAGATAAGTGCGATATTGACTATGATGGTTGGGAATTTCTCAAGTTATGCCTAATGGGTTGTTATCAATAATCCAATGTAATGTGAATTAGAGATTCAATGATCCACGAGTATATTTTGTAGGGATGATATTAATTAAACCAAGTGAAATAAGTGTACTTAAGTTCCTGTGATTAAGACTGACCTATGGTTGTTTAAATAGATCTTTCTATTGGTAAGTTGAAACTTTGTTTTGTTCTGTAAAAAAAACATGAGCCTATTTGGCAATTAGTTATGAATTAACGTATAATAGTTGTTATTGCTTGTGTTTAAATGTATGGTAGATCGTTGTTAGTTGATAAATTCTTCATTGTGTAATAGGGCATTGGCATAATATGTATTACAGCTAGGTAAATTATAATGATTTTTGTTTAGTTTCAAACAAAAATGTTGTTTCACATTTGTAAACCTCTCCAAGTTTAACCTTTTGAAATCAAATCTTTCTCTAACTCCTCTTCTTACTAAAAAGTTTAATTTTTAATCTGTACCAATTAGTTTGGGCCTATATTTTTTACTAAAAGGCCCACACTTTTTCCACGAAAATGGCTTAACTCAGTCCATCAGTTGTGTTCAAGGAAAACGTATCGTTGTTTTAAGTGAAAAACAAACTTAAAGTAAAAAAACAAATGCACTTTAAAAATCTATATTTGCATTCATATTTTAGGCATTTAGGTTAACAAAAGCTCTCCAAACTCCTATGGCCAATATGTTCCCTTACAATTTACTCCGCATAGTCTATTTTTTACACTTGAATTTATTTTCTTCTTATATCTTAATTTATAGACATATTTACGTACCTCGAAGTAAAAGTTATTTTCCCAACTAATAATTTTCGTATGTGTTCAAAAATTTGTGCCCAACTCATTGTTTTATTAACAAAAGTATGGCTTAATTATGTAAAAAAAAACTGTGAATAGTAACCTTTGCATTGGAAATTTGCATTTTAGATAAAAAAAAATAAAAATAATAATAGCTTGCATCATCTATAATAATTGTTCTTAAAAAAAAAAAAAAAGAATCAGTTGCATGGATACAAACTACTAAAATAATTACGTAAATAATACAAATAAAGAATAATAGGATGCCAATTTAGATTATTGGACAGCAGGGTTTAGGACTTTGGGTCGAGCCGAATTTAATTTGAGTCATTCTAATATATTAAGGCAAAAAATTAATACCATATACGAAGTAGATCAAATTTCAAAATTTCATATTTGGCCGGAACTAATCGAATCAAGTGAGTATAAATGTATAATTAGAAACTAATGGACTCCTACTCCGTAACAAATTACTCGTACTAGCAAAATGTCGAAATTAGTACACGGAGTACATGTGAGTTGAGAGACTAGTGACTAAAAAAACCAACCCATTTTCATTTCAGTTTGATTGCTATTATCGCCACCCGAAATAAATTCTGGAAAATCTCTCTCCACTTTTGTCCGATTTCTTTCCTTATTTACAGATTTTCTTCCATGTCCAAATATTAAAAAAAAAAATCCCTTTTTTTGTTATTCAAACAATTTCTTCACCAATCTTAGCACAGACAATACCAGCAACAACACACAGAAAAGCAGTAGGTGCTAGAAAGTGACCATCAATCAAACTCCCCCCCAAATTCTCTCTCCTCCATTCTTAAATCTCAAGTTTTCTTCCAACAATTCTATTTTTCTGGTTGATTGCTTAATCTTACCCACCCACCTCTTTCCTACCGTCTCTTTAACTCCATCATCAACTTTCATCCGCCATTGTTATACCCTTCAAGCTCCCCCCATTAAAAATGAAGCAGCTCTCTCTGCTTCAACAACAACAAGCTACTCGCCGGAGTAACAGTTTCAGGTCAGTAGACGGCGGCGGAGTTGACGGAGCTATGAAATCTCCGGCGACATTATTCTGGGTTTTACTTCATGGGTTATGCTGCTTAATTAGTCTTGTTTTAGGTTTTCGATTTTCTCGTTTAATTTTTTTCCTTCTATTTTCATCGACTTCTACTTCTCCAAACTCTTCATCTTCTACTATTACAGTACCATTTTTCAGAACCCTAGAAACTCGATCTCCGGCGATTCTTCAACCGCCGATTCCGGCGAATCGGACGGTGGCGAGTCGGGTGGTTGTCGGGCGACATGGGATCTTGATCCGACCATGGCCGCACCCGAATCCGGAGGAAGTGATGCGCGCTCATCGGATTCTGGAAAGAGTTCAGAAAGAACAGAGGATGCAATATGGTGTGAAGGAACCTAGGACTGTAATTGTGGTCACTCCTACTTATGTTCGAACTTTCCAGGCTCTTCATTTGACTGGTGTTATGCATTCTCTTATGAATGCTCCTTACGACGTCGTTTGGATCGTCGTCGAGGCCGGTGGACCTACTAATGAGACTGCTACATTGATTGCCAAGTCCAGGTTGAAGACTATCCACACTGGATTTAACCGGCAGATGCCGGTGTCTTGGGCAGATCGTTACCGGGTGGAGGATCTTATGAGGGTTCAGGCATTGAGGTGAGTTGTTTGATTTTTAGTTGATTTATTGATTGATGTTTTGATTGGTGTTGGTAATGTTGAAAAATTTAGTGGCATATGATTTGAATTTTGTTGCTTTAATATATTTGTTGATTAATTGTATAATTCTCATTTGGAATTGGATAGATTCTGGAAATAGTATGAATTGTAATTTTTATAAATGTGGCATTTTGATTTTAATGTATCCAAGAGCATTGCTTATGTGATAATGTTAGAAAGTGTAATTGAATTTTGATGATGGTTAATTTTGTGCTGGAGGCAGATTGGTGAGAGACCGGAAATTGGATGGTCTAGTGGTTTTTGCTGATGATAGTAATATGCATAGTATGGAGTTCTTTGATGAGGTGCAGAAAGTGAACAATATTGGGGCTCTTTCTGTTGGGATTCTCGTGCATTCAGGTGATCCTAACGAGCCTTTGCAAACGGAGAAGATGGAGAACGAAGAGAGTTCATTGCCTATCCAGGGTCCATCATGTAATGCATCGGACAGTTTAGTAGGTTGGCACACTTTTGATACAAGTCCTTATGTAGAGAAGAGCTCGGTTCACATTGGAGACATAGGGACTGTTTTACCAAGGAAGGTTGAATGGGCTGGGTTTGTGTTAAATTCAAGGTTGCTTTGGAAGGATAATGTTGATGATAAGCCGGAATGGATGAAGGATTTGGATGTTTTGGCTGATGAGAGCGTAGAAAGCCCCCTTTCACTACTGAAAGATCCCTCTGTAGTAGAACCTCTTGGAAGCTGTGGCCGCAAGGTTTTGCTTTGGTGGCTTCGCGTAGAAGCTCGAGCTGATAGCAAATTTCCTCCTGGGTCAGTTGCTCACCTTTGCTTTTCTTTATTATAGTCATGTTATTGATGATTTTAAAATTATTATTTCATTTGACGTCCCTCCTTGCCTCAATTTACCCATAGTCCGTGCTTTGCTTTTGTTGAATCTTGAATAGCTGTTTAACCTTTTTAAATACCGGAACTGTTTATCATCTTATAAGATCTGGTTACCCCTGAACTGAAAAGGAAGGTAGAGGTTAGAAATATATTTCAGTTAAGATCAGCATTCAATGATTGTCCTTTTCAATTACTCCAGTTAAGATCATCTTGCAATTATTGGCCTTTTCAATTACTGTAGTTAGATCTAGGGGGTGAGCAAAGCGGGTACCCGGTCAAAAGTTTAGGATCCGAACCTGAAATTGGTTGGGACCGGGTCCTAATATTTGGAACCGGAATTGGAACCGGTACAACCGGGTCCTAAAATTTAGGAATTGGAATTGGTTCCACCGGGTAACGGTTCCGATTCCGGGTACCCACTTATATATATAAGTGTTGAAATATAATACAAATCATAATATTTTTTTTGGTGTATTTTTACTTTTAGCATTTAATACTTATATTTTTATATACATTAAACTATTTTAATTATATTAAATATTAATTTTTTTTTTTTATTTTACTAATTAGTTACGTTCAACATATTTTTTTGTTAAATATATTTTGTACAATATATGTTGGGTAACCGGTATTGTAGAGCGGAGAGAAAAATCTAGAAGTTTTAGGGTTTTGTTTGATAGTGGGTTCAGAGTTTTATAAGCAATTGGGCTTAGAAATTAAAATGGGTTGTACATAACTCTTTAGTTTCTTAAAAATACAAACAATCCACATACTATATCATATACAACCGGGTACCCAGTGGGTACCGGATCCAAAATTTTAGGATTTGGAACTAGAACCGGTTACGACTGGGTCCGAAATTTTAGACCCGGTCCTGGAACCGGTGAGACCAGTTCTGGGTCTGGACCCGGCGGGTCCTAACCGGTTCCGGGTCCAATACCGGTACCCTGGATCTTTGCTCACCCCTAGTTAGATCAGCTTGCAATTATTAATTGGCATAGCTTTTAACAATGTTTATGCATCTTATATTGTAAGGTAATAAAAAAAGCAATTATGAGTTAACTTGCTATTTGATATTACTTCTTTTTAGGGATGTGCACCCTTCTAACTCCCATTTAATTCTTGTAGATCTAGATAGAGCAGGAAAAATCTATATGATAAAGAATTAAAGATAAATTATATTGGTGGCTTGGGATTTGGTTCAATGAATATTTCAATGATGCTCAATGTTGTAATCCAACCTCTGAATGATTGATTACAAGGATACCCTGACTTTTGAGACTTTCATCTTATCTTTACTTGAGGTGGCATGACTAATGGGAGGGGTGGAGGGGAAGATGTTGACTAGAAATGATTCTATTGGTCGCGGGAAGTCGTTTGGTAATATTGTTGGTCTTGGTCATAAAAAGGTAAAATAAAATAAGATAATAGAATATGTGGATCACTCTAAAATGAGGTAGGCTAGGATGAAGTTGTTTAACTCGATAGCTGGAGAATTCAGTTGCTTGACTCTCAAACTCAAGCACCCCTAGGAGGAAATTGTGTTGTAAAGAAGGAAGTGGAAAATAAGTTGATATATGCTGTAGTATTTTGTAATTGCCAAAAAAAGGTTGACCCTTGGCTGTGATTGAAATGAAGCCATTAAGCTGACTTATAGTCTATATCTATCTAGAGAATTCTTAGCTTAGATGAGATCGTCTCACACTAATTTAAAATTATCAAGACTTTAAAAGTTACCCTTCAACATTGTAACAATCCTCCCCTGAAATTATATAAAGTCTCCCTCATATTAGAGACCATCTCATACAATCAATGTGGCGCTGCATGCTTATTCAAATATCACTCTTGTTTCTAGAAGAGACCGATCTGACAGTCATGTTTTCCAAATTTATATCCCTTAAAAAAATTAAGATTTCATCCATTTTACATATTCTGTCTAGAAATATATATATGCCCACGGTGTATGTGGATTTTATTTCTCGATGGAGTATATTAATGTGGCTTTGGTATGTAACATGGACTCGATTTCAGTGCATTCCGTTCTCGCTGGAATCTAGCCGAAATTAGACAGAGATTCCTTGTCACTTTGTGCGTGTGTTTTTTTTAATTATCTCGAATTGTTTTCTTGCCCTTTGGTTTTAGCTCTTAGGTTGATAACTGGGAAAATCCATTGTGAAATATTTGTCGACTCTTTAACAGAAGTCTATATCACCCTTGGATGTATTTTCCAGTACCTAATTTTTATGGCTCTCAATGTTTTCTTTTCCCATTTCATATCATTACATAGGCACTTAAGACTTTAGCTAAATTGGTTAGCCAAAGTACTTAACACATTTTCACCATCACGGAGCATCAAGGTCGTCTTTTGACAAGTCAGTTATTATTATAAAATAAATTTGGCAAATGCTTTGCATTTTTAGGATTTAGTACATATACTTTTTGTTTGATTTTCTCCATTTATGAAATATCAAATAGCCTACATGTGTAGCATTGAATGTTGATTACCTACTTTAAAGCCAATTTTATTAGATTTGTCTGGCTAACTTTAGACGAGATATGAACAATGAATAAAAAAAATTGTCATCTTTGAACGAGATCAAAGATTTCTCGTGTGCCCTTGGGCCTCATATTTGTAAATCTAGTGACATTTCAGATGTGCAACTAAATAAGGGCAGCTTTCTACGCATTCGGTGTGATATTTGTGCTTTTGGTGGTGATCTATCTTTGTAATTTTTAATTGATTGGAGATGAGTTGGATGACTCCTTCCTTAACGATGAATTTTATTTTGAAAAAAACACATCCCTGTTCCAAATTGACGTGTATGTATTGTTCTAATATTATGAACATATACTGATTTTAATTTAATGGTTGAGCACTTGAGCAGCAAAAATTAACATTCAACTCAAAAAATACGTACATAGCAATAAGTTTGTAACCTTTAAGCTATATGTTCATAATATTTGAACTAAATGATTATCTGGGACCAATGTCATGGTCCTGGGCTCATGATATAATAATTGGGTTTAATACATTGCCAATATGCGTCCCATTATATCGCTTGCTCCCAAGCCACTTCTTGTAAATATGTGAGCATTTGTCCTAGGCAAAAAAAAAAAAAAAAAAAAAAAAAAAAAAGTGTGCCAAGGCATGATAGCTAGTCTACCATCTAATTCAACGACTTCAAATTATTGAATTAATGTGTGGTATCTTTCAAAAATAATAATCATTGTGATAAACGGGCCTGGGCCGCACTCGCTACGAGTGTCCACTTACAAGTCCAAGAAGGTTCCTCCTCAAAACCATATAGCAATGAGGGAAGTAGCCCCTTAGCCTTATAAAGTGGACACAACTTTCTCTTTTCTTCGGATACACTTCCCAACACTTTTACACTCTTTTAATGTGGGACAACATTTTCACTAACATGTGGGTTTGCTCATGGGCTCAACACATTGAATAAATAATACCAAAAGACTCATTTCCTGTTTTTGCTAGATTTATTTCAAATTATTTATACTGCACATACACTATAAACATGTAGATTGACTGTCATTGACCATGCACATTTATCCTCCTTGCCATTGCTAGAGAATATGACAAAGGGCTTAGTTTGGAAATAACATATTCATACATACTAGTCTGGACTATAGACAGCCTGTTTTCACAAGAATTCTAAATGCCCTTGCATTTGCCTGAATGGGTTGAACAAGATTTTGAAATAATATGCTTACATGAGCACATGACTTTCAGCTAGTTGTTTGGAAATAATCGCCTGGTCAGAGGTAAAACATGTTCACCACCCTATATCTTCCTAGTAGTGAAACATTATTAGTTCTTGTTGTTGTATATTTGTGGATCTGTGTTTTATAATTCGGGATTTGGCTGCTCATATTCACTACTTGTAGTTGTTCTGCTTGATGGTTTGTTGCCTTGAGTGCTAAGGTCTAGAGATGGGTAGTGTTTATATAATGTGTGGTTTTGGGACGCTCTCTTAAAACTACCTCTAAAATGTTTGGCCTAATTACCTCATATACTGTGTTCCTAAAAATTATTTGCTGCTTTACCATCTTGTGTGTCATGTCAGGTATATCGTATGTGCTAAGAGTAGCTTGATATCTTGATAGGTCATTCATTATCTTAGCTTTGGGGAACTATCTTGCAGTTTGGCATTTTTTTTTTCTTCAGATTTTAACTGTGATGTTCGTTCTGTTTGCATGAGCCACACCTTTCACTGTAGTGTCATTGTTTGGAAAGCTACCTCTTGTGCAATGTTTGCAATCGTATACTCTTACTTGAGCTGGATAACGGTAGCCTAGTTGATAGTAAGACCCTTATAACCCGGTTATCACAGGAGAGGTGATAGATACTATACTTGGTGCTAGGGTGCCCTGAGCCTAGGAGAAGTGGGTTTTTTTTTTTCCTCTCCCTCTAGTATACCTTTGCCTTGTGATTATCAACTTTTCCAGTCTCCCAAACAATTAAAAACTGTAAGTTCCCCTTCTAAGGAGGTCTTCCAGTGTTGAGTGCGGATAGGGGTGCGTCCCTCATTCAACTCCTATTGTCAGTAATTGTATTGTAAATATTGAGGACATAAATATTGAGGACACTGCCTTCAGAATAAAAAAAATTATAATAATTAAAGGATGCTGCCTATAAATCCTAATTAGTTCACCTTGCCATCTATCTCATAATGTCTACTCTTCCTAGGAGCTATATGTTGGTAGAGCTTTGGCATAGAATGCAGGCAATTAAGATAATTTTCTTTCAATATTTGGTTATTGCTGAAAATGCTGCATATCCAAGGTGGATAATTAGTGAACTGTTCATGAAGTGTTTTCCCAAACATGATATGAAAGTGAAGCCAACTTTATGCCAAAATCATATTACCAACCAGCAGTTTAGCTGCCTCTGTCATCTGAGGACAGTTCAGCTGATTCCAGTTAGATGTATTTTTGATGTTCACACTGTTTATTGATGTCCCTTGGCATATCATATAACAATTCTTTGATTAGTAATTTAGTACGCCACTACATATTTGGGGGCTGTCTGTCTATTGAGAAGAATATGCTTTCCTTTTCTGCCTACATCTTCGTTCCAATCAGATATGAACATTTATTCAGTATATAATGTGGGGTTTTTTTTTTTTTTTTTTTTTTTTTTTTTTCTTTTTTTCATGCAGATGGGTAATTGATACTCCTTTAGAGATAACCGTCCCTGCTAAACATACACCATGGCCAGAAATTCCTCCTGAACTCCCGTCCAATGAGAAGGTGATAGCTACTGAACAGCAGCACTTTGTCGAAGAGCGTGTTGTGAAACGGCCTCCAAAAACTCGAACCAGAAAAAGAAGTTCACGCAGTAAGAAAAAGCGTGAAGCTAGAGTTGCAGAGACAAGATTTTCTTCTAGAAATACAGGAGATTAGTAAGAACCTTCTTTTTCAGGGATATCTTCTTATTGATTGCACCCTTATTGTTTAGTCCCATATTCCGAGCCCTCGTACATGAAAGAGATCCAGCGGAAAGCAGTCAAAACATATACAACCTAGTATATAAGCAGAAGTTCAAGATGAGGTTTTGTAAAATTGGGTTGGTTGATAGTGTGTATTTAGTTTTCATCCTCATTTGGTTAATTCTTTTTCTTTTTCTTTTCTTTTTTTAAATTTTTCTCCACCTTTCTGCATTTTTTATTTTAAATTTTGGTTGAGTGTTCTTAGGGTTCTTAAGCAAGGCCTGTCAACAAGTTAATCTACCTTCTTGCCCTAGGAAACCATTTGTATTCATACATCCTTCAAATCTATACATACCACCCCTTGATATACAGATTTACAGATTGGGCTTGCAAATTTCGATGAATGATTGATTATGCTGCTATGAATGAAAATTAGAAATGGGATTGTTTGTGCTCTTATTCCTCTTAATTAGAATGTTTGCATTGCTTTATTATATAGATTGGTACATGGTATATTACAAGCATAAAACGAAAGGGAGGCTACAAATTGCAACAAAATAAAAAAAAAAAAAAAAAGAAAGAAAGAAAGTTAACTACCTTAAACTTGAATACGATGTGTGCATTAAGTATTTCGTATTTGGTCATTGGGTCCAAATACCAATCATGAGTACATACTTCGTATGAATTATACATTAACTTGAGAATGGCATAAAAATTAATGAGAATTGAAATAATTGAGAAGAGTTGACGTTCGTTTTCTTTTTTAATGTTTTGGTATCAAAGTGTCCCACTATTTAAAGAGAGAACAGCGTTAAAAAGAGAACAACGTGTTTTCTATGTGGTAGACTGACACACATAACAAAACATTGACTGGGTAATCCCTGACTGAGTAATCCTTGACTGACCGAGTAATTCCTAACTGGATAATCGTTGACCGATCAAGTAATATTTGACCAAGTAACCCCTAACTAAGTAACCCTTGACCTACCGAGTGATCCCTAACCAATTAACCCCTGCCACATGAAACTTTGTGAATTCTTTTGAGTTGAAGATTTTGATAACCTTTTATTATTGTGTATCTAATTTTGTTAAATTACCAAATAAGGTTGGACTCACTTGGTATGCTTCTTGGGGGTAGAGATTCTTTTTCTTTCTCCTTTTTTTATTGGACAAATTCTTTCTCCATGTATTACAATTATAATATCTCCTTCATTTTTTTTTTTTGTTACATTAGCTTAAAAAATTGATACGGACAAATTATTAAGGCATACAAAAAGTTATGAGTAACTTGGCGAGATATTGCTATAAACTTAGTTTCCTTACAATAAAAATTTCCTGACCCTCAAAAAGTAAAGTATTTGAATTTATTTATTTAAATAAAGTTTCTTCACATAAAATGATAAGATATGATAATGTAATTTGAGCTACTAATGCGATAAATGAACATAAAATAATAAGAAAAGGTAATGTAATAGGTATATCAACCGGGGTAACCTAGAATCTCCAAGGAGGTTGATTTCCTTCACTAGGTTGTAAATCTATGGGAACCGACATATTGCAGATCAGAAGTTGCAGCGCATTTATTTAGCTAAATGCACAGGAAATCCAAATCCAGTTGCACCAGATGGGATCTCTATAGTGGGCACTTCAACTGATTTATATAAAACTTATAAAAAATAAAAAAATGAAATTATTTGTTACAGATCTTAGAAAAAATTATGGCAATAAGATAATTTAGTTGATAAAAAGAAAGTGGTTTATTGAAGTCAGTTTTTGGGAATGAACAACTAACTGCAGTTGTTTGCTGGGAAACACAGACAACGTTAGCAGCAGCCGCCCAAACTACACGATTGGCATGAAATTTAACAGACTGCAGAAAAATATAAAGATTTTTATAATAAGTAACCAAATAATAACGGTTGCTACACTTTCTGTTCAATTTGCTACTTGGTTGGGCGTGCCTTTGCAGACCAAAATAAGATGCACCGTCTCATATCACATGATCTTTTACCGAGTTTCATAAATACTTGTGTTCTTTTGGTGCATATTATCATCGTACGTGCATATATTTATAATCTAATTTTTTAATTCATGATTAAGATAAAAACATTATAATTGAAATTTTTATGAAGAAAGCGTACAATTTTTTTTAACATTTGGTCACTTATTGTATTTTGATCGAGTAAAATTGATAATAAGAGATAAAAATTGATAAGTCTATATGTTAGAAATGTAAGAGAAGAAAATATGACCATATAAGCAATTTTTTATAGCTTCAAGCAATATCTTTTTTGAAACTAGTGTAGATAGAGCAATGTTTTGAGGTCATTCACAAAAGATTATAATGCAAACAAAAGGAGTGGATGCAATACAGAATAGTTAAATAACTCACTACTTTTATTAGCCCATATCACATTATCTAAATGCTTCAATCTAATAGTATGATGTCATAATAATACATATCAAAAATTAATTATACTACATAGTCAACTATGACCCTAATACGTAAATACAACATACATATACATGATATAACAGGATGTACAATAGATACGTGCACACCAGACTAAGGAGTAACTAAAACAAAATCTTATATATGCAAATGGGTGAAGAAGGAGCTCGTTAATAGATTCAGAATCTATTTAATCCAATTATAGAAAGGATTCCATGAACATGGGGATGTCAGTTTATATGAAGAGCTTGTGAGTTGTGATGACGGCATGGTGGTTTTGTGTTTTATTTGCTTTGGAAGCTCATTTCTGACACTATTACATGCTTCTTGGACCTCATCTTTGCTCTTCGATCTCTTTCACAGTATATAGAAGATAATTGATACCCATACATTTACTCTAAAATCTTTTATTTACTTAATTAATGAAAAATAAAAAGATCTGCCGCCCATTAATAAAGATGGGTGAACTGAAATATTCATCCAAAATTTCATGAAAGATTCCAACAAATAGATAAGAGTAACACCAAAAGGAAGGGAAAAATTAGTCAGAATATATTAAAAAAATAAGGTGTATTATTAGTCATTTAATTAATTGATTAATTATGCATTTCTTGTTTGAAAATCATACTAAAATATACAAGTACATTTTCTTTTCTTTATTTTTTAATTGAAATGATATGGTTATTATTTTAGCGCAGTTTACAAAAGAAGTGATGCTCATAAAGTGCGAAGAAAGCAATAAATTGGTTAGCGCCAAACATTTTTTCTTATCAGTAGCTTACACGTAGATATAATAATATATTTTGAGGTGAGCCTGACGACCTAATAGCTACATTTGCTAAAAACGTAATCATTACTCATAAATAAGTGATCTTTTACCGATAAAATCATATTAAAAAGGTTAATAATACGAGTTTGTCTCTCAATTTATCTAGTCTAGTCATAAAATTAAGACATCCTTGCACGATTAAAGGACTTTGGATCCTTGGAAAGCTTCAACCAAACTCATCTAAGTAAATTGGATTGACTGAATCTGCAATCTACAATATGAAAGGTATGTAGTGATTTGGTTACAAGTGGGGAAGGTGGTGTAGTGAGCTTTGTGGATAGGATTCCCCCCAAACAGGTTGGGTTGCAGAGCTTCGTTGCAGTAAAAAATCTTTTTGTTGTAATTTATTTGGCTGCCGAAAGACTACTCTAACCCCAACTAACGTATGTAACCCTACTCTTTGGTTCAACGCTTGTTTATTTCACAAACAATGGGCGTGCTCTAACTTCCAACTAACACTGCAACGTCTGTAACTCTGAAATCTCTAGGCAATCATGCTATATGTATGCACGTCATATATAATAGTAAACTACGAACTCATAACCAAAAATTTACAAGGTAAATTTTGATATGGTAAAATTAATTACCATCTTTGACAAATTATTGTACTCTGTTTTATTGTTGCTTGGTAACTAAATGCGTCGTGCTGGTCAATTAACTTTTTGTCAAACAAAACTACTCCTTAGCTTGTTACAAAATACTCCCTCCGTCCCAATTGTACTTTTCACTTTTTTTTATGTACTTTATTCACTTTCTCCTTTCTAACTTTTGTCTATTATTGTAATTTTCACCTTTTTTTTATGTACTTCATCTATTTTTACCTCCCATTTCTTAAATATCGTGAAAAAAAACAAACAATAACTATATATTGGAACGGAGGTAGTAATTGTATTTTACTCATTATCTTAGAATTTTTCTAGGAAAATTTTGATAATCCTCCAAAATCCTAACCGTAGAACATAAGCGGTTAGTTAATGTGTGAGTCATACTCCAAAAAGGCATCCAAATTCACTTTCAAAATCGCATCACTATTGCGGACTTGCGGAGTACCGCTCTCCCCTTCCCACGTTACCAGCCTTTATACAAGTCCCTAGGGATATGCATATTTTATCTTCTCCCCCATTTCTTTTTAGGCAGTCTCATTTGAAATTTTTTTACTTGTAGATGTTTTTTTTTGAAAATTGAAGAATTACATACTGCCGTATTGGTATTTGGTAGTATTTGTTTGTTGTATTAACATTACTTTATACTTTTATATATATATATATGCAATTATTATGTATATTAATTAATCTATACTATAATTTTAAAACAGGAAGTTGAAAGGATACGTGTCTACTTTCTGTTTTTCATGATTAAAAAAAAATTAATCTCAGAGTGGTGTACTTTTCTGTTTTTTTTTTTTTTTCTTTTTTTTTTTTCCTTTTGAACCTATTATTTCTTTTTCTCTTATCAGTGTTCTTCATCTTATTTGGAAATTTGTTCTTTAATAGTCAGTTCCACATTCCCCTATCCTATTTATCTCACAATACACATGCAATTGATCTCTCCAACCAAATTTTGAGTTTTTGCTTGAAAGAAATTGGGTTTTCGTGATCGGTTTCATCTGATATGTTACAACAAGGTTTGTATTTTTACCAGTTTAAATTTTTGGTTTTAGACCTAAAATTGGGTTGTAGTGGTGAATTTCTTTGTATAGATTTGTGATATTATGAATTATTTCTTTTATTTTTTCAGAATTTATATTTTCTCACTCTCATTGTCTATCATTGTTAATTGATGCTTCTTTTTACTGTGTTTTAAGAACTTTTGGGTCGTCAAGTTTGTGGGATTGCTTTGGCTGATTTGGTCAGATTTTAGTTTATTTGCATGACAAAAATTGGGTTTATGGTATCTGACGACTAATGTGTTTGTGGGACGTTGAGAAGTTGTTTATTTTCCATCTCCAACTGTCACAAGTTTCATATCTGTTTGTGGGACGTTGAGAAGAAGTTGTTTATTTTCCATCTCCAATTATCACAAGTTTCGTATCCAATGGTCATAAATTCCGTCAAAAATTGTGAGTATTAGGGAATTGTTGTGATCATCTGATTATCCTTTTTCTTTGCAATGTTTATTTGGTAAGAATGTACATCTTTTTTGGTATTATGAATTTCGCTTACATATATTAATATTTTTGGGTAAAAATTTGCATCTTTTATGATTTAATGAAATTGGTTTCATATATTAATATTTTTGGGGATAAATGTTTAAATGGTATTGGTTGAATTTTTAAAATTTTATGAGAGTTTTTCGATCATTAAATCACTATACGTTCAAAAAAATATTATAATATATTAGACAGCCATGCATCACACGGGTTTAAGACTTGTTAATATTTAAACTTAGTCAAATAAGTTGATATATTATTTTGAGGATATATATATAGGCAATTTAGGAAACTACATAACAAAAGCTACTCGTATGTAGCTACGTTCTTAAACCATGATAACGAGAGATGGGCTAAGGCATAAATGGAACTTTTTCAAGCATCAAGTAAGACTCCTGGGGCTATTTGATGAAAAATTTTGGATACTCATATGCATAATCTTTCCAAGCCAAAAAAAAGTTATGCGGAGGCCAAAGTGTAGGTTGTACTTTACAAAACAAGGTCTATTTTTCAGAGATTTTGGGACCTAGTGTTGAAAACTTGAGTGATAAAAGGGATACATCTTGAGGTTATATAACGTTGTTTGAAACCAAATGCGACTATCAGTTGATTATCACATAAAGGTTCGTGATGATATTGAGTAATGGAAGAAGACACGTACGTTATCAACTAAATTGATAGTTTAAAGACAAAGTGGATTAACAAGAATAATCTTTATTGACGGAAAACCTCCATCAAACTTACTTTCTTTTCCCAACAATTCCCATTCATATTTCACTATTTTTCCCCATTTCTCCTCCATATTACAGACTATCAATTATTTCTTTTTTTAAAAAAATTATGGTTAATTTGAGTTAAAAAAAAAAAAAAAAACTTGAATTCCAATAAGTTCATATACTTTCCTTTTCCTCGGGAAAAGAAAAATCATACACTTTTTATATCTAATAGAGTATGGTGCCTTTCATGATATACTGAATTTTTTTTTTTTGAACAAAATTCATAATATACTAATCCATCCAGTATAAATATACATTAGATTAAATAGAGTCAATTTTTGCTAATCCAAATCATACTAGGACTATACACATCATCAATCATCCAGTTATATTTTAACATATATCTTGTTCATACTTCTAAAAATAATAATAATAAAAAAAAAAAAAAATTGTTGTAGAAACACCTATTCATACCAGGACTCATACATTCACGCCTATATAAACCTCCCTTCCAACACCTTCTCTTCATAACACAACAAACATCCTTAATCCTTTCCCTATTCTCCAAACATCTTTAATCCTTTCCTTTCCCAACATTCAAATCTCTCTTCTAACTTCTCCGACAACCATGAAATTCCGGCAAACATCCGCCGTGTTAACCACCATCCTTTTCTCTCTCCTCCTCTCACCACTAGCGTTAGCCGCGACGGAGCGGACTGACGCAGAGATCATGGGCTTGTACAAAAAGTGGCAGGCCCATCACAGAAAGGCCCGAAACGGCCTGCCAACCCCAGATGATCAAAAGAGGTTTGAGATATTTAAAGATAACTTGAATTTCATTGACGAGCATAACTCTGTGGACCGGACTTACAAACTTGGGCTTAACAAGTTTGCTGATCTGACTAATGAAGAGTACCGGTCCAGGTTCTTGGGTACCAGGCCCAAGTCCATTAGTATTAACCGGAAGGTTAGCCTTCGTTACTGGCCTCTTCCCGGTGACCGCTTGCCTATTGACGTCGATTGGAGGAAAACTGGTGCTGTTAACCACGTCAAAGATCAAGGCCAATGTGGTATGAATTCTTCACATTATTTTTATTTTTTCATTTAAAGATTCTTTATTTGTATTTAAACTCTTTAAAAAAGATTCGGTTTCCTTCTTATGGAGGTTTTTGTTTTTGCCTAGATTTTAAGTGGATGACGTTTTTTTTTTTTTTTTTTTTTTTTTTTTTTTTTTTTTTTTTTTTGGTTTCTTTCAATTAAGGTTAAACAATTAGATTTCCTTAAAAATAAGTTAAGTGATTAATTAGATTCCCTAAAAATAAGGATAAGCAATCAAATTGTGGACCTTAACTCAAATTACAAAGTATGTTTGATGAGTTGGTTTAATGTGATCAAGTATAGTTTGAACTAATTGTATTATATTGGAGCATTTTTTGATGGTATAGTTGTTAAGAAAAGATAAGTGATTCCTTTCTTGAAGGGATGAGTCCTTGAAATTAGGACACTTTTAATGGTAGTTTGTTTGTTGGAAATTGGAATTAAATAATCTCATTGAGAACTACTACAACTAATTTAATTCGAATGGTAAATTTACCAAAGCAAAACCTAACGAGAGTCTGGCGTTAGATAAGAGAACTAAATGTAAAAAATTCTAGTAAAATTAACATTAATTACACCGACACGTGATTTTGTCAAATATTTTTTTCAATTATATTGTTAGTATTCCTTATGGGCCGTGACCGGTCAGTTTAGACTTTTGGGCCATGAGTCATGACCTACCATTTTATACTTTTGGGCCGGCCCTATAGACATGTTTATCAGTATCAAATTAATTAACTGAACATCCTTTGCTTTGTTATTGTCCTGTTTTATCAGGTAGTTGCTGGGCATTCTCAACGGTAGCAACCGTAGAAGCCATCAACCAAATTGTGACAGGCAACCTGACCTCCTTGTCCGAGCAAGAGCTCGTCGACTGTGACCGAGCTGTTGATCAGGGCTGCAATGGCGGTCTCATGGACAACGCCTTTCAATTTATCCTTGAGAATGGCGGTCTAGACACCGAGGAAAGTTATCCTTACAAAGGTGTTGATGGCCAGTGTGATCTTAATAGGGTACGTGAATGCGACTAACTTTTAGTAGTCTGTTTCTTTACCCATCATTCCGAAGAAAAAATTGTATTCATCTCTTTGCAGTTTCGCTAATGTGTATTTTTTATCTTGGATTTACAGAAGAACAACAAAGTTGTGAGCATTGACGGATATGAAGATGTCCAGCCTTACAGCGAGAAAGCTTTGAAGAAAGCTGTTGCTCACCAGCCTGTTAGCGTTGCTATTGAGGCTGGTGGCAGAGCTCTCCAGCTCTACCAATCTGTAAGCATTTATTGATGTTTTTGGTCAAATTTGTCAGCTCTTTTATCATATATTTTACCTGTCATAGTAAAAACTGTTATGGATTCAGACTGTTTTTATGATTAAAAATCAATTTTTGTCAAGAAAAATTATTCAATCAATAACCGAATACTAGAAAAAACACAAGTGAATCAGTAAATTCACATCGTTGATATATGTAATATCAAAGATTTAATGAATATACATCCAAGTAATTTTATAACTAATCAGTTTTCGTTTGCTGTTCTTGTGTTGCAGGGTATATTTAATGGCCACTGTGGTACTCAACTCGACCACGCTGTAGTGGTGGTTGGATATGGAACGGAGAATGGGAAAGACTACTGGATAGTTAGGAATTCATGGGGCAGTGGATGGGGTGAGGAAGGATACTTTAGGATGCGCCGCAACACCCATACTTTCACAGGCAAATGTGGGATAGCAATGCAGCCATCTTACCCTGTAAAGCTAACCAAAGAACCCATCAAGCCTTTCTCCGTTGTCGAAAGTGATGATGGTAAAGTAAGCAGCTTCTGAAGAAAGAAGCTAGGAATTATTAAGGAAGTGGTTGAAAATATGAAGGGGATTACTATTTTTAAGCTCTTCTAAGAAGCCACTTTAATTCGAAACCAAGAATTATTTCCTGTTTTAGAGTATTAATAGGAGCCTACATGGCTGCCTCTATTTGTGTATATAAGCCTAAAGTTTTAGATTGCATCTCCTGGGGAAAAAATACAGAGGATGTTGCAAGCTTTTTAGTAGTTTAGGGTTCATTTGACATCGCTGCAGTTTTCTGTTTTTTAATTTTTTGTTTTTCAAAATCATAAGATATATGCCATATAATGAATAAAAAATTAGTCAAACTTATTAATATCATGGTAATTTTAACGATGCCAAATAAGCCCTAGCTCTCAGTTTCTTTTAATTAATGAAAGGTCACTTCTTTTCTATTTCATATATGAACAATGAACATGTTTTTATGTCCTGAGATTCTTCTATCTAATTCTATATATGAATCCAAAGATGAAAGATCAAGTTATAAAACAGAAAGAAGTAGAAATTCTCTTCAGTGCAGGAGAAGTTTATTTGGCAGTAAAGACCTCTTCTGTGCCGACTTAAGTTTAACATTAAGCAAAAGACGATGTCTTAACCCGAGTTAACATCCTAATTTTACATTAAGCAAAAGACATGTCTTAACCCGAGTTAACATCCTAATTTTACATAAGGAGTAATGTTTTCTCTCTACAACTCTAGGAGTAATGTTTTCTATCTACAACTCTTATCTCTTCTCTGTCTATAATGTCTGCACCTCGGCTTAATGTTCATCTTGAGCTAGAACGGAAGGAGGGAGATGAATTCATTTTAGTAAGGTTATCTGATCTAGGAACTAGGAAGGCATATTAAGTCGCTCTATCAGACTATCACTAAGCCTTATTTTCATCTCCTGGACTCCTATCCTATTCAATTTTATGCTAAATAGAATAATTAAAATTGCAAAAATGGAGATGCGGGGTATCGATCCCCGTACCTCTCGCATGCTAAGCGAGCGCTCTACCATCTGAGCTACATCCCCAAGTTGCTATTATAATTATTATTTAATTGATAGAGTAAAAGTAATTAAACTTTGAAATAGAATATGGGCTCAATATTACGGTATATGTCCAATGGCTAGGAAAAAAAAATGTATGGTCCCATAAACTAATAAACTACGTTCATGATATATCTTTTGTTCAGGACCAGAAGGTCAGCATGGAGCTGAGCTATTGATCAAACATGTTTTATTGTTTGTGATAATTACTCATATATAAACTTTCTAAGTTACTAGTATAGTAGTATGGACATACAATAAAAACCTAATGTTTTTAATATTGTGTTCCTCCATAAATTGATGTACCCGTGTATTGACATTGGTGCATTCTAGTTCACATTATTTGCAAGATGAGCATCTTTTAATTACGTTGACAAAATCATTTAAATCTACATAATACTATGTAAAAAAAGTCTTCTATAACAATCAATAAACCTTTTTTCATTTGCCCAAATATCAGACCTATAGCATTACATTGTGTACAGTAAAATCTGAAATTTTAGCCCTTTTTTACTTGCACAAATTCTAAGATCTTTTATCTCCAATCAATTTTATGCTTTCATGTGAAGTTGTCAATGTCATCACCCAATTACATCTAATTTTATAATTATAATTTTGGGGAGGTTACTTTCTTGTCTTTGTCTACAGGTATCATAACATATTGGATGAAATTAAACTTCATGTTAGTGTAGCATTATTGAATCATAAACGTGACAAATAATGCTGATTAATTATATAGAACCATATGGCTGTCTTAATCAATTGCACCTTCCTTTGATTGGGACAAATTATTTCCAGCTTGTAAACCAACCCTACCACAGTTGAGGAAGAAAGGAGGAACAAATTTTAAATTGTGATTCGAAACACAGCTGATCAACTCCTAGTTTCTTATCCTAATTACAAGAACTACCAACTCATTGAGCCGATTACTTAATATGGAAAATAAAATAAAGTCAATCTCCAAGAAAAATAATGTGTAAGCCATGGACATCATCTAAAGTGTCCAAAGTGTGTAAAATAAGCGGAATTGTGTTTTTGGTTTTCAATTTCTGTCCGTTTATTACTCTTGGTTATCATTACATTTATACACAAAGAGCTATGATAAATAAGGAAATACAGCTAAGCAGAATATATTCCTAACATAATTACAACCTAATTAACTCCTTTGATTAAGGAGAATCACTTATTTCCTACACTCCCCCTCAAGTTGGGCATCCAGTACTCCAATGCCTAACTTGCTAAGTGCTTCTTTAAAGGCCTCAGAGTTGACCGCTTTGGTCAAGATATCTGCCAGTTGATCTTTTGATCGAACAAATGGAAGTTCAACAATTCCCCCTTCTAATTTCTCTTTGATGAAGTGTCGATCAATTTCTACATGTTTCGTTCTATCATGTTGCACTGGATTTTCCGAAATCCTTATAGCTGCTTTGTTATCACAAAACAGTTTACATGCTGTCTTCTGAGGAAAGCCAAGTTCATTCATTAGCTTCCGAATCCATAGAATTTCAGTTATCCCTTTTGCAATTCCTCTGAATTCTGCTTCTGCGCTTGATAAGGCTACAACATTCTGCTTCTTACTTCTCCAAGTGACCAGATTTCCTCCTACCAAGGTAAAGTACCCTGAAGTCGATTTTCTACCATCCCGGTCTCCTGCCCAATCTGCATCAGTGTATGCAACTAAATCCAGGTTATCATTCTTGTCAAAGTAGATCCCAGTGGTGCTAGTATTTTTCAGGTATCTCAATATTCTCATTACAGCTGTCATGTGGTGAACTTGAGGCATATGCATAAATCTACTCACAACCCCTACTGCGTAGGCAATATCTGGCCTTGTGTGGGCTAGATAAATGAGTTTCCCTACAATCTTCTGATACTGTTCTCTGTTGGTTGCTTTCTCTCCTTCTAAGATTTGAAGTCCATGATTTGCAACAATCGGTGTTTCTGCTGGTTTACACCCTAACATTCCTGTTTCGGCCAATAGATCAAGTATATATTTCCTTTGATGAATAAAGATCCCTTGTTTAGATCTTAGTACTTCTATTCCTAGGAAATATTTCAGGTTACCCAAATCTTTCATTTCAAATTCCTGGAACAGTTTTTTCTTCAAATTAGTTATTTCTTCCTCATCGTCACCAGTAATGATCATATCATCCACATAGATGATTAAGCATGTGATTTTTCCCTTTGTTTTCTTCAAAAATAGAGTATGATCAGAGTTACTTTGAGAGTACCCAAAAACTTTCATGGCCTTTGTAAATCTCCCAAACCATGCCCTAGGAGATTGTTTTAAGCCATATAGAGCCTTCTTCAATCTGCACCCTTCTCCTACTTCAAATGTTTCAGCATATCCTGGGGGAGCTTCCATGTAGACTTCTTCAGCAAGGTTCCCGTGAAGGAAAGCGTTTTTTACATCGAATTGATAAAGAGGCCAATCTTGGTTTGCTGCAATAGAGAACAGAACCCGAATAGTATCTAATTTTGCTACTGGTGAAAAAGTCTCCGAATAGTCAATTCCATATGTCTGAGTGTAACCTTTTGCTACCAGCCTTGCTTTGTGTCTCTCAATTGTACCATCTGCCCGGTACTTCACAGTAAAAACCCACTTGCACCCCACAGTTCTTTTTCCCTTTGGGAGAACACATTTCTCCCAAGTTTCATTCTTCTCTAGAGCCAAGTATTCATCTTCCATAGCCTTTCTCCAATCCTTACTAGCAAGAGCTTCTTCCACTGTTTTAGGAATCTCAGTAGAGTATAGGGAAGCTGTAAATGCGATAGCATTACTGGCAAGATTCTCGTTGCTGATTTTTCCTATAGGATATCTGGATCGGGAATCCTCATATTCTGGATCATACCTCTTTGGAGGAACTCCTCTAGTTCTCCTAGGAGGTAACTCATATCTGTTCGGACAATTTTCACTAGGAACAACAGGATCAGTTATAGGTAAATCACAAAGGTCAGAATTTTCTGTGTTTACCTCACTTGATATAACTACATCCTCGGTTGGATGCTCAGTAGGTGAATCTGGTGTGGACTGAAGAGGAGATGAGGGAACTGTTACCTCTGGAGAAGCAACATCGGTGGTACTGTCTACTTGGGTTGTTGGATCCTCAAGGTCCATCACTTCTGGATATGTCAACCAGCTAAGGTCATCACTACTAGTCTCCCCCTGAGGACCAGGCTGGGTGTAATAATAGGATTTTTCAAAAAACTCACAGTCAAGGGTAGTGTGTATTTTCCTTGTAGTCGGATCATAGCATCGGTATCCTTTCTGGTGAACCCCATATCCGATAAAGACACATTTAATAGCCCTTGGTTCCAGTTTGTTTCTATAAATCTTTGGTAGGTGGACATATACAACACATCCAAACACTCTTGGTGGTAGGGAGTGAGAGGATGGGATGGTGGTGTGTGAAGAAAGGGTGTCAAGGGGAGTTTCGTAGTCAAGGGTTTTTGTGGGAAGTCTGTTTGTAAGGTATGTGGAGGTAGCTATGGCTTCAGGCCAAAGAAAAACAGGAACTCCCGATTCAATCATAATTGCCCTTGTAATTTCTAATAAAGTCCTGTTTTTCCTTTCTGCTACTCCATTTTGTTGAGGGGTATCACGACAGGATGTTTGGTGAACAAGTCCCTGGTCAGCAATATATTGTTCCATATCTAGGTTTATATATTCCCCCCCATTATCTGATCTAAGAATTTGTGGTTTTGCATTAAATTGGGTACGAATCATATTATAGTATTTAACAAATACATCAAATACTTCAGATTTGTGTTTCAAGAAATATACCCAACTCATACGAGTACAGTCATCCACAAATAAAACAAAGTATGAAAAATTATGGATTGCAAACTCTGGGGCAGGACCCCAAACATCTGAGTGAATAAGCATAAAAGGTTTGATAGCATGAGTCAAACTAGGAGAATAAGTATGTTTATGACTTTTGGCTAAGGCACACGATTCACAGTCCAAAGTTACATCAATGTTTTTAAAAGAAGGAAATAGTCGTTTAAGATAACCTACAGAAGGGTGACCTAGCCGGCGATGCCACATCCATAGTTGATATTCCGGGGACCCATGAGCAAGCAAAGCATTGCCGTGTTGAGTCGCCTCATCCAAGAAGTACAATCCTCCTCGTTCAGTACCACTCCCAATAATCCGTCCCGTCTGAGCTTCCTGTACCATACAACCAGAGGATGTTAGTAAAACAGTACAATCAAGTTCCTTAGTTAATTGACTAACAGATAAGAGTTTATGAGAAAGACTAGGAATTAAAAGACAGTCGTTTAAATGAATATTGGGTGAAACATCAACTTTTCCGGCTCGATCAATAGGAATTAATTCCCCATTAGCAGTTTGTATTTGGGTACGTTTAGTGGGATGGAAAGATATAAAGTCGGATGGGTCATAAGACATAGTGTCTGTTGCCCCACAATCTAAAATCCAGCCCATTGATTTACATAAGAGGCCCATATTTCCGGATTGGATAAATGAGTTTTCTGAATTTTTATCTGAATAAAAGGAATTTCTTGGTTGGGTTTCAATGTGGGTCGTGTGTTTTTGATGGGAATTAATAGGAGTTGAAATTGTGGGTTGTTTTATTGTGTGGGCCATAGGTTTTTGATGGAAATTCTTTGAGAAACCCTCAAATTCCTTTGCCTCCTCGTAAATAGTTTCTTTTCCAGAAACTTTCCCAAACCTTTCATCCTCTTCCGTCACTTTCCCTTTCTCTTTCATTGCTTCACCATGAAAATTGGCGATGAGGTTGATACCTGTACCTGTTGATTTTCCGGGTGTGTTTTTGGTTGTGGGTGAGCTTCCATCGTCACCGTTGATTTCCCTTTCAGAAGCAACAAAATTTGCCTTGCCACCGGTCCGGTTTCCGGTAGCCTTGGCGGCGGCTTTTCGTTGTCTCAATTCGTCCCACCACTCAGGGTAACCGATGAGTTTAAAACACCCACTCTTGGTGTGTTTGGTTCCCCCGCAGTGGCTGCATTTTAACATCGTCTTGTCTTCTAACCGGGATGACTTTTCCGACCGGTTTTGCGCCACCAAGCCACTCCCAATTTCTGAGGGACTCTGTCCCGATGATGAGTCGCCGGTCATTATGCCGCGACGGGCAATTTCCCGTCGAATTGTAGCATAAGCGGCATCTAGGGTTGGGAGTGGGTCTAAATACAGTAAATCCCTTTTCTCTTTGTCCAAAGAATTATCAATTCCGGCTAGGAATTGATAAAGCCGTTGTCTCTGAATGAAAGAATTGAACAGAGTAATGTCCTCTGAACATTTCATCGGATTTGGCATTCGTCTGTCAATTTCCTTCCATAATATATTCAGTTTACTGAAATACATTTCTATGGTGTCTCTCCCTTGTTTAATTGATGCTGCCTTCAAGTTCAGATCATAGATTTGAAGTTCGTCTCTCCCACTACTCAAGAGAGTCTCTATTCCTTTCCAGAGATCTCTGGAAGTTTTATAATCAAGGAATTGATTAACTAGATCTCCGTCGATATTCTCGATTATCCACGAGAACACTATTGAGTCCCGTTGGGCCCATTGGGCGTATTCTGGGTTGTCTGATGTTAAAGGGTTGCCTGTGATGTGGTCGAGTCTTCCTCGGCCACCAATTGCAATTTGCATCAACTTACACCATTTGGTGTAATTTGTGTAATTGAGTTTTTCTGAAATACGCACACTTTGTGCATTTCCAGATTCTGGGTTGATTGGGTTTTTGTTTAATTTTTGAAACATCTGGAACATTTGTTCCATCTGCTCTATTGAAATCAGTTTTTTGTTGTCGTCCGGTGAGTCCCCCATTTTAAGGTAACCTTCCGGTAGATGATGAGACTAAATAGGTTTCGGTTTCCCGAAGATCGGAACCTTACGGCTCTGATACCATGTGTAAAATAAGCGGAATTGTGTTTTTGGTTTTCAATTTCTGTCCGTTTATTACTCTTGGTTATCATTACATTTATACACAAAGAGCTATGATAAATAAGGAAATACAGCTAAGCAGAATATATTCCTAACATAATTACAACCTAATTAACTCCTTTGATTAAGGAGAATCACTTATTTCCTACACAAAGATCCAATTATGGCAACATCTCTTGTGTGGAGGGTATTCTAATGTTTTTATTTCCCCCCTAATCTTTAAAAAAGCTAAAGAGTGTAATGGCAAGATGCACAACTAAGGTGTATAATCTTTAAGTACTTAATTGCCCGTTTCTATACCAAAATTATTATCTCGAGATTTGACATAAATGCTCGATCCCTTGTAGTACCGTATTATGTCTCCAAAAAGTCCAAATGAAATGGAAGCTAATCTATAAACACACACATCACAACGACTTTTTGTCTAGGCAATATAAAAGGAGCCTAATTGCTTTATTTTCATGTAATTCATCTTCAGGTCCATTAAAATTTGTTGATCTTATCTTCAAATGGTACATTAGATCACACCTTTATTCTAATATTCCTATTAAAACCCTTTAAATCTCTCCTTTACATCTTACCTCCATTTTCAAAAAAAATCAGCTTAAGTTCTTTGTATAAGAACTTTTTAGAAAGAATCTGGAAAAAAAGTGGTCAGCAAAAGTAACTTCAAAAATAATTTAAGAGCTTAAAACCCCCTTTTTTTTTTCTTTTTTTTTAATGCTGAAAGAATAAAGGGCTCCTTTTAAAGTTTGTAGTGCTTTGGCTCTTTGGAGAAAAATAAAGAAAATGGTTGCTGTTTACAACAAAGAGCTATTGAGTTGGTATTTGATAACTCTAAAGCTCAGAGAAAAACTCCAAAATGCTGAAACATCAAAGCAACCTGAGCAGCAGCAGCAGCAGCAGCAGGCAAGGTTGCAACTCCCGTGCGAGCCGCTTCAAGTGATGATGGTCAATGGGGAGTGCAGAAAGCCAGAGGAGATGCAAATCTTGCAATCACCAGCAAATCCACAAGAGTCTGAATGGATAATCTCGATCAAGGAGAAACTCGAGCGAGCAAGTAATGATGATGTTGCTGGTTCATGGACTAAAATATGCATATACAGAATCCCACATTTCCTGAGGGATCAAGGGTTAGGGGAAGAAAAAGAAAAAGCCTATGTTCCACAAGTAGTTTCCATAGGGCCTTACCATCGTGGCAGTCAGCGTCTCCAATCGATGGAACGCCACAAATGGCGGGCCTTACACTATATGTTGAAGCGAAAGAGGCAAAGCATCAAGCTCTATCTTGAGGAAATGCAGGAGTTAGAAGACAAGGCGCGAGCTTGTTATGAAGGACCGTTGAGTCTAACAAGCAATGAATTTGTGGAAATGTTGGTGCTTGATGGTTGCTTCATTCTCGAGTTCTTTAGGGGGTATACCGAGGGGTTTGAGAACCTCGGTTATGAGAGGAATGATCCTATTTTTGCAATGAGGGGGATGATGTATTCCATAAGACGAGATATGATGATGATTGAGAATCAAATTCCTCTGTTTGTCCTGGATAAGCTCATTTTACTCCAACTGGGTGATCAAAACCAGAAGAGTGTTATTGCAGATTTAGCAATCATATTCTTTGATCCATTATCACCCATTGATGAGCCTTTAACTGCCAGGCAAATGACCAAGTTGAAATCATCTCTACACACGAACGCAGTGGCTTTTCATCCTTTGTCAGACCAGGCTGGCCTGCATTGCCTTGATGTGTTTCGGAGGAGTCTGCTCAGGAAAGGTCCCGAGGCAGTTCCTAGGCATTGGTTCAGGAAATGGTCCCGAAGAAACCTAGTGGCTGACCACCGCAGGACTCAGCTCATCCATTGTGTAACAGACCTTAAGGAGTCTGGTATTAAGTTCAAGAAGCGGAAGACTGATCGTTTTTGGGATATCAAGTTCAAAAACGGAGTCTTTCATATTCCTCGGCTACTAGTTCATGATGGGACAAAGTCATTGTTCCTCAACCTTGTGGCCTTCGAGCAAAGCCACCTAGATTGCACCAATGACATAACAGCTTATGTGGTGTTCATGGATAACTTGATCGACTCAGCACAGGATGTGAATTACCTTCACTACTGTGGGATACTTGAGCATTGGCTAGGGAATGATGCTGAGGTTGCAGACATGTTTAACCACCTTTGTCGAGAGGTGGTGTTTGACATAAATGATAGTTATCTCGCTAAGGTGTCTGAAGAGGTAAATAGGTATTATGATCATAGATGGAATGCCTGGCGTGCGAGCTTGAAGCACAAATACTTCTACAATCCCTGGGCTGTCATCTCATTCCTGGCTGCTGTTTTCTTACTGTTGCTGACTGGAGCACAGACCTTCTACTCTGTCTTTGCTTATTACGAGCCCCCCAATTGAACACAAAGAAGGCCCCTTTCTCCCTATTTTCTGAATTTCTGGCAGCAGTGATTAAATTTTTCCTGGAGTTGTACAACTACAGGTGATTTTGGTAGGATTTTACATGGATTGTTTGTGGTTCTTTAGCCTTATATATTGTTTATTTTTTTCATTAACTGTAAACAAGAGTATTTTTTCTGGATAATATTACCTCCATCAGCATTCCTTTCTAATACGAAATGTCATATCATGTACTCAGTACGTTTATACTCCCTTTCTAAGTAAATAATTGTCATTTCGTACCAATACTCCAAGGATTAAATATATAAATGATGACCATTTTACAAATGCATCATATCATCAATATTTTCAAGTAAAGGGAAACTCTGAGCAGATTTATCACCACACGGAAACTCTGAGCAGTCAATTGATGAAGAATTTCGAACTCACTATGTAAAAAAGACTAACCTGATTTCACTACCATGTTTTAGAATAGCAACTTGATGATTTGTAAGCCATTATTACAAGTCGAAAATGTTACAGCTACTTGAACAAATACTTGGCAAATATTTTCCCTTCTTGGATGCATTTTATGCACACACCTCCAAAACTCTCAGCAGCCTACCCATTGTCGGTTAAGGTTTTTCATAATGAACGAATGAAGCTAAAGGTTGAACCTAAGAAAATGCATGTCATGTGTTCACTCTCCGCTGCATGAGTCCAAAGCCGCAGAGTACAGAGTGCAAGCACAACATCCCATTGAGGATAAGATATGGAAAAAAATTTAAATGAAAAGCACATATCTGCAGCATATTTTTGTAATCTGTAATTGTACTTTTTCACTGTTTCACAATTGAAATAATGGTTATTTGCTCCAAAAAGAAGCTATGAAATCCATTAAGATTTGAAAAGCAACCTCATCAAGAATTGGTGATGTGGAGGAAAATGAAAGATATGTCATTTCATCTCCAATAAATCAAACTAAACGTTAAACGTTACAAGGCTTTTGAATAGAAATAAAATCACGATTCCTGTTGATACAGCCTACAAGAAACTCCTGATGTTTCCCTCTATACAAAATTGTAATGTCAAGAGGAAAGGAATAACATCAGCAGCCTCCTAGATTCAGTCAGATCAGTAATTGTTGCACAACGGAGCCTGCTTGAGTGATATGGATGACAATGAATCCTCTCAATTGCTAGAACCAGACACCAGAAAACTGTAGCTACCACTCCTAAAATTTTCCTGAGGTTCATTGAGCAGCAAGAACATATTCTTTCTGAGATAAGAGAACGAAATTCCAAGTGGGAGACATAAGGAACAGGAAAATTAGACCCATTACATAATATCATCCCTTTCATTTGAAATTCCAACCAACACATACAATGCAAAACTCCAGAAAAAACTCATGTTACAACTCATGCCTTGGGAATATTAACAACCACTTTATTACAATTTAACATTAAACATAATTAAAAGACAGAAAGAGGGAGGGAGGGGGGGAGGGGGATTATTTCACCTACCTAAAACATCAATCCCTGACAAGTGCAGCGCTATCTTCTGCAGCAGACTTCCTTCGATCATAACGCTGAGACTTACAGAGAGTGTTAAGATGACATTCCATAATATTCATATATACAAAGTAAAATAAAACATAGAGAATACATAAGGAATGAAGAGACAGAATATCAGATTAGCTATAAAGAGACAGATTAACATACCTTTTTCCCAAAGGAGAACGGGACATATCTGTATTTGATCATATGGTGTATTTGTCTTCTCATGGTGAGCGTGAACAAAACAACCCAGTAGAAGAGGAGTATTGGCCAAAATACGGGAACGTCAAACACACTTGAAAATGTCATGGCAAAAGCTATGCAGAAGGCTTTTGTTAGTGAGTACCTTCACAAATGAGAAGGGGAGATTCAGTCATTAAGTAAATATATGGAGTACTAAAATTCTCTGAGTAACAATATTTAAATTCTATACCAGGCCTCTATCATGTACTTTACAGTAGATACGTCTCATGAAAAAGAGTATTTCATATATGACCCTCGCATATGGAAAACTAGGAAAGTTGCAATTCCTCCCACCCAACCTTGGGAGGAGCCTTAAGAGGTATGGTAAGTGAATAATTCGGATCTGACGAAATTAAGGGAAATCATACCTAATTAAACTAAAAGCCCTTGATCCCCAATTTGTTCCTTAACATTTCTTTCTTTATCAAAATTGGCAAGTATAATTAAAAAAATAAAAAATAAAATAAAAATCTAATTGATCAGAAAAACATAATTTGTTGGACTGAAGCTTATGGGACGAGTCAGAGAGCAGCCAAGGTACCTCGGAATGCATGGACCACAAATCCAACCTTTTGTCTACCACAAAGGCAAGGTACAGAACTTGTTGCCTAAAAGTCTTACAATTCAAAAGAAGTTTTACCATACAGTATTGCACACAATTCAGCTTTGCCACCAACCTGCACTCCAATTTAATTCCAGAGATTTCTCTCATGTTGTTCCTTAAGACAAGATTGCTTCTCCTCACTTCTTACAAACCAGGTAGCCATAATCCTAGATTAATGAGCGTATGACATTAAAAAGAAACTAACAAAACACCATACTTCTAATCCTTCGAGTAATTGAAAACACTGTGTCAACAATCTTGATATACATGCCTTCCCTCCAAAAAATCTCCAATCTCCTTCCCACACCCCTCATCATTTCTCTAAGAAGATTTTACTTGCAATACTTCAGACAAATAAAACAAACATCGAGCAATAAATATTAAATAAGGCTACTACAGTTAGCCATAACCTTGAACAGATATGATCTGTTGCTGTCACAAACAGGTTCTCAGCCACACATTAGATCCCAACCAGTTTATCCATGAAGTGAAACTCCAGCTACATGTCATTCATCAACTAGCAAGGTGATACACACTTCAATAATACTTTGTTCTTCCACTCAAGCATCTAAAATCCTAAACTAATAAACTATGATCGGTACATACTCACTCCACTAACTACACATATCCTATTCAAAATTGAGCACAATCCATCAATCCCTGAATACTCAATAAAAGTCTTTACTTACAAACCATCATAACACTTACATCAACACTAATCAAACTAGACAAAATTGCTCTACACTCCCCAAAATTTAACTTCAAACTAGAATAGTAGAATGGTACGTCAACATTTCCCCATTAAATCAAAACCCATATCAAAATAAACTTGAAAAACAACCTAATCATACGGAGTAACCAAGATCTCAATTTCAACCTCAAACAAGAAAGAGACTTGATCAATCATTAAATCAAGTAATATCACATATTGTACTATCATAACTTCAAACACAGCATTCTATAACCAAGAATTATTTTACATCAACCCTAAATGCTAAATTACCAAATCTTTGCTTCAAATTATAGTGCAATCACATTCTATACATTGCATAAACTCTTTATTAAAATTTGAAAAAAAATAAATCAATAATCGACAGAAAGAATAGAGAACAGACCAGAATTTGAACTCAGGAAGTCGACGAACAAAGGGGCGAAACTCATCGGACCCCCGAGTTGGTAAAACGGGTCCATCAGTGAGTTCCTGGATCTCAGGGTCCACCTGAGGAGAGAGAAAGGCAATAAGAAGGTTAAGAATGTAAATTCCCAACCCATACGAGACGATGTAGAACCCTTGAACGAAGTAAACTCGAACAGCGTAGCCCAAAGCGATGGCGAAGAATGCGATCCAACGGTAGAGCATATGAGGCGTCGATTTGTCCAGATAATGCTGGAACCGCTGTGAAACCATGAAGCTCCACCGTGATGCGACGGTTGCGGGTGTGTCCGATGACGTTAGGGTTTCTCCGCCGCCGCTAACACCGCCGCCAGCCTCCATCATTTGGGATCCGAAGTGGGTTTACTCTCGGGAAACTAGATTGGGGTTGACGGGAGATTGCGAGGGGAATATGATTTGCAGATGTGAGGAGGAAGAGGGAGAAGAAATGGGATGCCGATATTTTTATTAATTAATTTTACTTTTTCTCCTTGCTTATTTTATTTTATTTTTTCCTTTCTTGTGCAGTTGTGCTAAAGAGGTGATTTTTGAGCTTTTGGAAGGTCTTGCATTCTTTCCTTTTTTTGGTCTTTGGTTTGGTACCTATGTGTCCATTTTGATTTTAGTTTCGGATTCTGAGTTCAATCTGATACGAAGCAATTTAACTTCGACGATAAAATTATATGTTGATCGGTGTATAATGTTATATCTCAGTTACAATTTCATTTTAGTTACTTAAAAGGAATAGATAGATCCCATCTGGTTGTTATATTCGTCAAAAACTTTTATTAGTGTATGTGACACATAAAAAACATAAAATTTTACCTAAAACCGCTACACAAACCAACATATGATAGTTCAATTCTTCCATATTTTCATATTAAGTCAATCTTTCATATTTTGTGGGACGAGCCACCCAACGTAACACAAGATGGTAGCGGTGCATAGACGCATAGTGACTTCGGCTCAAGGATATGGTTAGGAGTCGGGGCACAACCTTACAATATTGGACTAGGTTCCTTCCCTAACTGTTAACCGCACAGCCCATTTTCCGATTTCCGTGCGCGGTTGCCTACTCCGTACAACCAAGTAATTGGACAACAATATAAAATCCAAACTGGGTAATCCCTTAACAACGACACAAGTCCGCGCAATCAATTCAAAATCCTCTCTCCCTTCCCTCCCACATTCTCTCTCGACGGAGAAATAGCGCGCTTTTCCGGTCATAGTCGCCGCTCCAACCACCATTTCACATTCCAAGCATTGCCTGAACCCTAATTTTGCGATCATCTCAAGGATTCACTATTTCAACTGATCAACGCTGTCAAATCTCTGGTGAGTGATCTCTGAACTTGCTATCAGAATTTGCTTCTACCTACATTATGCCATTTTCTCTCTCCTCTTCAAGTGGATTAGCAATTGTTGATTGGATCATTGGATGGATGAGTCTTCATTGGAAAAGGGAGGGATTGTGGATGCTTTTTTTGGATCAGTTATAGTTAGCTCAAATATTAGATCATAGACAGAAATTAGATCGAATTTATTTTTTTAATTGCGTCGATTGATATTTTTTTTTTGTTGGAAGAAATGCTGTTTATAACGCCTTAATGTGGTTACATTTCATTGAAATTATGTTTTTTTTTTAGAATCAGAATTGTGGATTTGATAATGTCATGAGGTAGCTGCATTCTGGCATTCAATTGGAGAATTGGAGTAATTTGTGTGAACTTCTAGAATTTTATTTTTAAAATTTTCTGGTCAAATTCTATGTAATGGTTTATGTTGCCTGAATTATGCTTAAGAATCTTATCAACTTAATTAATATATGTTGGATTTAAGGGTTTAGTAATAGGTTACTATCAATATAAGGAGGATATGCAAGTAATGTGGCTTTAGGCATTGTTAATATGATGCGGTGTAAATAATAGTACCGTGTCACCGTGCATGATAAACATTACCATTATAGAGCTTACACAGCCATTATACCTGACAGAAAAATCTGAGCTTGAAGTTGCAAGGTATTTTAAATTTTATGTTTAGAATCTTTGCACAATTAGCTGATCATCAGATACGTTTAGTATATTTACATTTATGAGAGGCACATTTTAAGGATATTACTAAGTTTGCAGACCATTTAGCTCATTGGTTAACAGTTCAAGGCAATTTTTGCAATCTCCACTCATGAGAAAGGATATCATGTATTCTTATACAGAAAAAATAATTGTCAAATGTAGATTCTTACCACTTTTTGAATAAAAAGTTGTGGAGGGGAGGAGAAAGGCATCACTAAGTATTACTGCCACAAATGAGTGTAATTGACATTGGATTTCAAGCCGTTGGCAGTTAGGACTTGTATAGTTTGTATCTTGTATGTTCCTTTGATGTACTCTGTATTGATATCTAAGTTATCCTTACTACCTGCTACTTGGAAGTTCGGAAATGTATGTTCATTTTATAGACAACCTCGTTTTGTCCTTTTTAGTGAATAGCCTATTGGTTTCCTTTTTGTAATGAAAATGATAATTAGTGAATTGTTGTAGCCACTTCTCTTTGGACAGGATATCTTTCACTTATTTATCATATTAACATATTGTTAGATCTGTCATATCAGTGTTGGGCACCTAGGATCTTTGACTATATAGATCATTTTCCATATGAAATTGAGCTTGAAGTGCTTACATGGATATCATGCTTTCTTGCAGGGAACATGGAAACTGCAGATTCCCCGTCTCCACCACAGGAGAAAATTTTAGGTGTTCAAACTTCTGCTCCTGCTGCAAATTTTCCATCATCAGCATCATCATCTGCGTCTGGTATAGATTCTTGGGCCAAAAGCTTTAAAATACCACAGGCTTCAGGGGAGACTGTGGGAGAATCACAATCTGGAAGTGGTGCAAGATCGACCTTTGCACGTTTAACAAGTGGTCTTGGATTACGCTCACCTGCATCAAATCCTGTGGCTAGTGGAGATGCTCCAGCAGATACAGCACCTGCCCGAGCTGGTGTTTTTGATTCATTAACAAAAGGGTTAGTTGACTCATCTCGCAGTGCTGTAAAGGCTGTGCAGGCCAAAGCACGCCATATGGTCTCGCAAAATAAGCGGAGGTACCAGGTAGCCTTTCGTCTGATTTGTGATGCTAAGGTGTTGGGCTGATGGCATGGAATATGGGTCGTATACTTGGGTTTTTTTTATATTTTTATTACTATTGATCTCTTCTTTGTCTTCAATTTTTGTTTCTAGAAAGGAGGATTTGATTTGGATTTGACATACATCACGGAAAATATTATTGCCATGGGATTCCCTGCTGGTGACATCAGTTCTGGAATTTTTGGATATGTTGAGGTAGAATATTTGACCAGTTAACATGATTATCATGGCTAATGTTATTATGTTTAATACAATAGGGGCTTGATGCAGGGGCTCTACAGAAATCATATGGAAGAGGTGATTAGGTTTTTTGAGACTCACCACCAGGTATATGCCGCAATTTGAATTGAATCTTTGGTTTAGTGCCATAAATTTCTTTTACAAAGAAGCTCTCAAATGGTGTCTTAATTTCAAAATACTTTGGAATGGAGATTGAAGAATAAGGGTATATAATCTCATCACTGTAAAATTATTATATCTTCAAATAGATAATTTTTTTGGGTATGCATCTGGTAGGATAAGGACAATGTCACAATGATTAAAGTTGTAAATATACTTTGTATGTGCCATGATCTGATTTAAATTAACTGTGCATAATGTGGCCCTTTTCCTCCTTTGCTTGATAAAAGAATTAGTTCACATTGGAAGGGGGAGGGTTGGGGAAGGGGTGTGGGGGTGAAGGTGGGGGTGGGGGTGGGGGTGGAGGGAGTCTTTTATAACTGGATCATTGTAGATAAAACTTGAGATGGATCCTAACTATATCTTATTGGCTGGCTAATGTGCTTATATAAGGGGCCTAAGTCTTTTATAACTCATGCTCATTGTTTCCTTCTCTTTTTTGTTGAAAATGTTTTATGTAAATGTGTATGTGATTTCATGCAGGGCAAATACAAAGTCTATAATCTTTGCTCAGAGAGGTTGTACGATGCATCACTTTTTGAGGGGAAGGTCAGGATTTTCTCCTCCCATTAGAGTGTGAATTGCGTATGCTTGTATCATGCATGCATATATTAAGTAGGTTATATATTGAGATCTCACATGCACATTGCACACACGTTCACCTTCATCTTTACACTTAGTTTGGATAACAAGATAGTAGAGAAAGAAAGGGGAAGGAAAGAGGAGTAGGAAGGTGGAGCTCCCTCCAAATATTTCCAATTTTGTTAGATTGGTGTTTATTAAAAAAAGGGTGGGAAAACCCCTCCCTTTCCCCTAACTTCTTATCCTAGGTTCCTAAGAAAGTATTAGTTTCTTATTATGCCACTTTTCATGGATGTACTAAGATTGAGAAACTTGTTACTATGACAGAATCATAACATCCAATTTGGTGGATTTTGTGTCTCTGTTATGTTTTGGTTTTCACAACTAACAGTCTTAGTATAGATTTGACTTTTTCTAAATGGATGCTGTTCTCATCATCTATTTTGTCTTCTGTTCCACAGGCTGCATCATTCCCATTTGATGATCATAACTGTCCACCTATTCACCTCATCTCCTTATTTTGTCAAAGTGCCTATACATGGTTGAAGGCGGATGTTGACAATGTAGTTGTAGTTCACTGTAAAGCTGGTTTAGGGAGAACAGGACTAATGATTTCTTGCCTACTTCTGTACCTGAAGGTATAAATTCGGCTATACTGTTTCTGGAAGCATAACACGAATCCTGTTTCTAAATTGTATACTTACTGGCTTTGCAGTTTTGCCCAACAGCTGAAGAATCTATTGACTTGTTCAATCAGAAAAGATGTGTAGATGGAAAGGGTCTTGTTCATCCAAGTCAGATTGTTAGTTAACTGCTTCTAATAAATTTTTCATGATTTATGGCTTGAATCTTTCAAGATAGTAACTCTTTTACGTTTCTTATAGAGATATGTCAAATATTTCGAGCGCATCTTAAAAGACTTTCAAGGTGAAAATCCATCCAAACGCAGGTATATCTTTTGAAATTTATGTCCATGCTGCATCTTATTTAATATTTCCTCCATCCACTAAGATTGCCCCATACATTTTTGTTCACTGTTTTAAGAGTTGGTTCATTTGACAGCATGTAAGGTTCCTATTCTGTCCTTTTGTGGTTTCACATGGGTAGTCAAGCTGTAAAAATTTCTATAAAGGTTGTGTGTAAAAACTCATTAGGACGTCCATTTTTAGTATACGGAGCAATCTTAGTGGGATGTAGTACTTGTACAATATCAATTATGAGCTAATATAAATGCTGGCTCAGGTGCATGCTCAGAGGATTTCGACTTCACAAGTGTCCATATTGGATTAGGCCATCTATTACCATCTCTGATCACAACGGTAATTCTGAATTTCCCACCAACTTTCATTATTTATAGACATGATAGAGTTTAAATCTATGAAAAACATTTGTAATTTTGAAAGTATCTACTAGCCTTGCAACTATCATATATCGGCAAAGGATAGTGTATCTAACTTCTAAAATCAAGGCCCAAAATCCACTGAGATCCGGCCTCATGTCACTTCTATTCATCTCTGTTCCCACCCTAATCCCTAAGAACACCTATGTTTGGCTAAACGTGGATAGCATAATGCTTTAGGTGCTAAAAAAAACTTAGAATAAGAGAGAGCCGTTCAAGGTGGTTGATATCGCTTCCGTGAACATATCCATCCAAGGCGCACTGCCTGGGGCTATTGTTGCACGCTGCCAAAGAATGGGCGATATTGTTGCTACGCTACCAAGGCACGAGTCCTGCTGCTCAGTCAAGACACGCATCAAAACACCTCATCATAAAAAATAAAATTATAAAAAAAAACCCATCTATTTTTGGCAATTAAGGGTTTTGGCTTGACATAGGGCCAAGGCAAGGCAACGCTAAAGGTAAGCCAATGCAACACAAGGCCAAGGCAAGGCATTTTAAGACATGATCACGAGGGATGGTCTAGGCATGAATGAGATGGTTTCGGGTACCAAGTACTTTTTGAACCCATGGAAGCACTTGATGCATAACCTAGGTAGGTCCAAAAATGTTTTTCGGAGGCTAAATTTGGGATCCGGGGTTAGCCAAAAACTCAAGTGATGGTAGGAGAGGCATCCCAAAGTCTTATTATTGTTGTTTGGAACCATATCCAACCATTAGTCGATCACATACAAGCCGTGGCAGCCTTAGCCTTGAGATAATGAAAGGAGGCGTGTATGTAATCGACTAAATTGACAGTTTAAAGGCAAAGTAAATGGTTCTAAGTTTCTAATTACCCAAATGACCTTCCGAGGTCTCGTGAAGTCCATTACAAGCACCAAGACGTCTTTCCTTTTCAGATCCAGAATAGTCGAAAATTGTTCAAAACTTAAGGTATCCACGATTTGGATCAATTTCGGGAAGTTCTTTCAAATTTGAAGTGAATGTTAAATTGACAATTTAAAGGAAAAGTGAACGATTCTAACCACCCAAATGGCTTCCCAGAGTCTCGTGGGGTCAATAAGAAGCATCCAAACCTCTTTCCTTTTCGGGCTATGATTAGTTGAAAATTGGGCAAAATTGAAGGCTATAATCCACGCTTTTGGACCAATTTCGAGTTTTTTTTTTTCCCCAAAATTGAAGTGAATGTGTGGGGTGTCCCCTATGATCATAAAAGTTGGTTTGGAATTTTTATTGGTCTACTAAAAGTTCTATAAAGTCATGAGAATGAGTTAGGTTCAATTATAATGTTTTGAAATTTTGTTGCCTTGGTATTCAAGAGCTACAAGAGATGATTTCAATCGCCAACTTGGTATCATGAGGTCCTATTAAGGCGTTAGGATTCTTTCATTGGGTTATCAAACCGAACTCACCATTACTTACAATTTACATACTATTATTGATGCATGCATTACATGGTTTGTTTAAATCATACTTTCTGTTCCACAAATATTGCAACAAGGATGAAATTACGCATCCCAAAGCACATTTTATATGTTAAATACCCATAATTATATAAGAGTAAAAATTATAAAAAGTTGATATTATGAAAGTATTTTACGAGACGAATCTAACAAGACCCACATGACTATATTTTACTTTATGTATAAATTATAATATGTGGTCAAACAAGCGTGATAAATAGTGCAAAAGTTCGGTTGTTGCAATATTACTAGAACGGAGGAAGTAGTATATTAGTGTTTATGATGCACCCCATCACCCCATTATTGATGCATGCATTACATGGTTTGTTTATAATACATAACAAATGAAACCTTATCTCAAATAATCATCATAGATGGAGAATTGTCACAATTTCCCTGCTGCTCACCCAGCTAAGGCATGGGCATTATTGCTGCTGCCTGCTAGGCTTTGGGGTGCTGCTGCTCACACTGCCAAGGCGTGGGTGTTGTTGCTAACGCTACCATAGGCACTGCTGCTGTTAGCCAAGGCACGCTGCCGAGACACAAATGCATCTATTTTTGGAAATTAAGGGTCTTGGCATGCAAGGCAACCCTCGAGATCAAGCCAAGGCAACACAAGGCCAAGGTAAAGCAAGGCATCATAAGACATTATCACGAGGCTAAGCCAAGGCGTGAATGAGATGGTTCTAGACTTCTAGGCACCAAATAGGCCTCCCGAGGCCCTTTGGGAACCGATGTTACTTGGACTCGGGTACCCATATCCGACACGGATATGTGTCCAAGTGTGTCCAAGTGTCCGACCCAGCTATTTTTTGAAATTTTTTAATAATTTAAACTAAAATGAAGTGTCCAAGTGTCCCACCCATCTCCGAGTGTCGAGGGTCCGACATGGGTACGTGATGTAAATGAAGAGTCCGAGCAACATAGTTGGGAACTCATGGTAGTATCTTGATGGACAACCTAGCTTGGTCCAAAAATGTTCCCCCTCAAGGACAAATTTGAAAGCTATACATGAAATCGGATCATTTTTTGAGATTTTGAGATTCAGCTTCAAAAACTTAAGTAATGGTAGGGAAGACATCTTAGGGTCACATAATGTTGTTTGGATCCATATACGATCTCTATTCGGTCACATTAAAGCCTTTGGTGACCTTGAGTTTATGAAAGGAGGCGTGTACTTAACCGGCTAAAGTAATTGTTTAAAGGAAAAGTGGATGAATCTAACCACCCAAATGGGCTCCCAGGGTCTCATGGAGTTCATGGAAAACACCTCGACCTTTTTCCTTTTTGAACTAGAATGGTTGAAAAGTGAAGGCTATAATCCACGCTTTTGGATCAAATTGACTTTTTTTCAAAATTAAATTGAAAGTAGGGGGTGACCCTAGGGTCATAAAGTTTGTTTTAGTCACATAACAAGCCTACCAATATGTCCAGAAAATCTCAAGAATGAATTTGGTTTAAATATATGCAACATGAAATCAAACCATATTTGGAGATTTAGGGACTCAAAAACTCAAATGAAGTTAGGGAAGTTATCTTGGGGGTCATATAATGTTATTTGGAATCATATGCACCTACTAGTCGGTCACATAAAGGCTTGTTGTGACTTTTAGTTAATGAAGGGAGACGTGTATGTAAATGGTGAAATTGACAATTTAAAGGCAAAGAGAACGGTTTCAATAACTTAAATGGCCTTTGAGGGTCGCGTAGGTTCCATGGGAGGCACCCAAACTTGTCTCCTCTTCGGGCTTAGAATATTCGAAAATTGTGCAAAATCAAAGGCTATAATCTACAATTTTGGACCAATTTCATGATTTTTTTCCAAAATTGAAGTGAACGTGTGGGGTATCCCCTATGGTCATAAAAGTTGGTTTGGAATCATACTAAGTCTACTAATAAGTTTGTAAATGTTTCGAAATTTGCATTGGTAGTGAAAAGTGTTGCAAGAGATGATTTCAATTGCCAACTTGGTATCATGGGGTCCTATTAAGGCGTCAGGAGTCTTTCATTCGGTATGAAACCCAAGCTCACCATTTATTTACCATAACATTGTTGTTGCATGCATTTCATGGGTTGTTTATATTATAGTATCATGGGGTCCTGTGATTTTTTTTTTTAAATAAAAAAATTACGGAAAATTATCCATAACAAATGACACCTTATCTCAAATAATTATCATTGATGGAAATTTTCACTTATTTTATCCCCAACATTCCCATTGTTCTCTTATTTTTTTCTTCTTCTTATTCTCCCCATTTCTCCGGCCTTTTTTGTTTATAAAATAAATTACATAAATAAACACTATATTTTATGAGTAAAATATAGTTGTATTCTATATGTAAAAGATGCCAAAATGTCAAATAATCATTCCTATATTTTTCCCAAACTTATCCTTTTTTTTGGGGATTTTCCCCTAATTTTCTCACTTTCTCCCTTTTTACCCCCAATTTTCACCTTGTTAATATGGAAAAAATATATTTTTTAGATAAAAATTGTCCAAATTAAGCTGAATACCTGTATGTAGTAAATTTCTTAAACAAGCCTTGTATAATTGATAGGACATCTCTGCTGCTAACAGCAAATGGAGCTGCTTAAGAAAGTAAAACATCATTTAAGGCTTGCAAGGAGTGAATTCTGTCACGTAGCTGGTAAAGAGAAGTAAATCATTAACATATTCTTAGCTGACAGAGAAATGTGGGTTGATATAATAAATAATCTTTCCTGAAGTGTTGGTATAGTTCATATTTGGGACAAAAGGTAATCAGAGACTCTCTTCTCATAGGCTTTAGTTATTAAATCATATGGACTCATTCAGGTTTTATTTGGATATAATAATACTTTTCCTGCGTATGGATTGCCTCTTGCTTTCTGCAATGCCCTGTTTGTAGTATGACTGATGTCGCTATGTCCATGTACAGGGATTCTATTCACCACAAAAAAACATGCAAAGACCAAGGATCTACTGGTAATTTTTATTTGGATCTCTTTACTGACATTTCAGTGAGTTTCTAATACTGCTAATTGCTACATTGGACAAATTTCTGCAAATCTCACTTAGTTGAATGCAGCCAGAAGATTTTTGGATGAACTCTTCTAGGAAGGGGATAGTAGTGTTTGCTTTACCAGGAGAGCCAGGTCTGACAGAGTTGGCAGGTGACTTTAAAGTTCACTTTCAAGATCGGCATGGAGATTTCTACTGGTTTGTACTCGTATATGCCTTACCCTTTTCCCTTCTAATATTTCAGAGTTAATCTGATACTGAATTTTATGTGTTTCTGTTGCTAATGTCGCATTGAACATCTGTGAGAAAGCAATTTGTACATTAATAACAAAAAGTTAATAGTCTCTCTTTAATTGTATGGACAATATATTGATGGTTTGGTTATTGGCTTGGGATTGATATGGGCAGTGGAAGGACTTCTATGCCTTTTAGAAATGTTTAAATTTTGTCGGGTTCAATGGCAATAACATCCATATTATTTATCTATAGTACTACCAGTTATTCCCACTCAAGAATTTATATAGCCATGTCTATGGCCCTGTTCTATTCACCTAATTTTTAAAGCTGTAAAGGACAGGGCCTATGTCCAATGAATATTTGGCAATCTAAATAGAAAAGATAATTGTGTCTGATTAGTAGAAAAAACATAATAAGCTTCCAGACTTCCGGTATACATGTTGGATGCTTTTAACATTTTCTTCATTTGAAGAGTCCAGAGTAACCTAGATTCTGTTGCCTTTTTATTCTTTTCCTAATTGGAATCTTATCAGAGAACGACATTCTAAGTTTGTTGATCACCTTAGTTTATGAGTATTAATTACTACTACCTCTGTCCCTTATTGTTTGTCACATATTCCATTTGAGGCCATACTTAAATTGCCTCGTTTCTATTTTTGATCCCGAGGACCAGAACTTTTACATTTGCTTTTGTCTCATATGATACTCTACTCAACCAAAAATTGACAATGTAAAAAATGGTTAAGAGGCAAACAATTGGCGATGAAGGGAGTATTTATTGACAATCATACTTTTATCTAAAGACTAAAGTCAATTGATATGTGGAACGGAGTATTTATTGACAATCATACTTTTATCTAAAGACTAAAGTCGATTGACATGTGGAACACTAAGCGTATTTGTTTTTTCAGTTGGTTTAATACAACTATGACGGAAAACAGAATTATCATAAATAGTGATGATCTTGATGGGTTTGACAAGGTAACACTTATCTACCAGGAATTTTGAAACTCAACACTTTCATTATTAATTGCTTAAACTCTTTATACTTCATTTTTATCTAATTTTGAACTTTTGCTTACAGAGAAAGCTTCCTTCACCTACATTCCAGGTGGAGATAGTGATGAATGATTATGATGGTACACTTGCAAAAAAGCCAAACACTGAACAAGAAAAAACAAGGTCTGATGCAAGCGCAGAGCAGATTGCATCCAGCAACAATGGTGGTGCTGTCATACCAAAGACAGAGGGATCATCTGAGAAAGAAGAAAAAGATGATGTATTCTCTGACAGTGATGGAGAAGGTGGATCTTCCAAAACTACCCAGGTTCATGCTTCTGTAGCTGGACCTGCTAGCAGTAATCAAGTTTCTAGTATAACACAGAGGACTCATCAGATGTCTGTCAGCAATACAAAACCAGCTCAAAATAGCAGTGGTAACTCCTACACTGATAGTGTTGGAAAATCTGGATCAAGTGTTGAAACACCTAAGCTCGGTTCATCTACCACTAATGATTTCAAGGCCATTGCAGCTGATGCTTCTGTTTTCAGTTTTGGGGATGAAGACTCTGAAAGTGAATGAAATAAGAAGACCCATATTATTTTTTTTTGGTACTCCCTGCGAGACCCTTGTAATTTCTTGAATTACTTGAGCATGCACTGTGACAGAAACCCAAACTTTCAGCCTTAGTGGTGATTTTCTGATACTCAAATAGTCAAATGTTTCAGTTCCTGCTGCAGTTAGTTAAATTCTTTCTGAAGGCATTCAACGTCATTGCTTTACAAGATGTAACAACATTTTTCAAAATAACTATTGTAAAACACAAGTTTATGTTCTCTAGTTCTTTCAGCCACCTCTTAAAAGATTTAACAGAATGAGAACTCAAAAATCATTAAACGATTATCCTATCAGCATACCAATGTAGCAGCTAATGTCATACACCACTAGTAAGTGAATTAGTGAACATTATAGCAGACTTGGGCTAAATATTAAGCCTAGGTAATTTGACCCTTCCTATATATTGCTTGAAACAAATTTGTTAAATATGAAAAAATTAAAGCATGCAATCATACAAATTATTGCGTGAAAACCAAAAAAAAAATCCTCAGGATGCAATATCTACTACTAGGCGGTAAACCAAAACTTTACAAATGGCTGGGGAATCAACTCCTGCACAAAAAATCTCTGTTGTCACTTGTTTCTTGATCATGCATAACCTCAAATAATAGGCCCTTTCAAAATTTGCAGAGCCCCAAATTAACCAGCTGGGGATCTAAATTAGAGATTTAAAATTTAGAGCCCTTGTTTCCTTGTAAGAGCTGCTACAATCTTATGCAGGCTAGAAATCTCTTGATCCCTTTGGCTAACCAAATCCTTCAACCTTTCAATCTCCTTCACATGATCAAAACAGAGAATCTGCTGAGCAGCTTCAGAAGTTCGCTCGATCTTTAACTTCTTTGATTCATTTACTGGTCCCTCTGTTGGATGTGCTCGTTTCGCAGAAACTTTGTCAAGAGGAGTGTCAGGTAACATTTTCCGAACACATATAATAGCTGTTGAGCCATTTTTAAGCTGGACAGAGACAAGTTTCTGAGACCGCCCATAAGTGTCCTGAAAAAGAGTAACGCACAGTTCAGCTCACATTTCAGAGCTAGATTGTTAAAACCTTTACCCCCCCCCCCCCCCCCTCTTTCTTCTATTCTTGCAGACAAGCAGCATCACGATATTCACGAAGGTAAAAATTTGGGATAAAGTTGAGACCTTTTCTTCGTCTCCTTCCAGATTTTCATACGTACAAAGTGCCTCCTGTGGACTTTTGAAAGTAGCTAAGGCAGAATACTTGTCACCTCGAACTTTCTTACTAGCCTGCCAAAAAGTTTAATTATGCAAGGCAAATTCTAGGTCAGGAACAAGTAGCCAGATCAATACCCTACATTGAGATTAGCACAACAGTAACATAGAGAAAATTAGAAAGTCGATTCATTATGTGTCTGATTCATGAATTAATATGAAGAAAAAAAAAAATCTGCATATAACCCTCTATCCCAAAAAAGGCCCTAAAAAGCAACGACGCAAGAAATAGACAGGAGAACCATGGCGTAGCAAGGGTCCATTTGGCTCAAACTTATTCAACTATATTCAGGCAAAATATGTACAATGTTTGAGCAAAATAAGCTTTTTTCAAACACTTTTGGATTAAATAAAAAAATAATAATAATAAAAAAAAAAATAAAAAAAAAAAAAAAACATTTTTTTCAGACAATTTCACACAATCATGTAATTTTAGGGAAAATAAGTTCAGATAAGACAAGTTCTTAAAGTTGAACCAAACAGAGTCCAGATAACAGTTTCACTACAAGGAAGTGTTCACGATAATTTACTTATAAATGCAAGATTCAAAATTTAAAAAAAGCATGTTTCACTAGCCAAAGATTTAACTCGCCCTAAAAAAGAGATACTTCCTCCGTTCTACAATGATGTTCCTGTTTGGAATCTTTTGACTTTAAAAATAAGAGAGAATCTTCTAAATTTCTCTTAATCTATAAGAACAAATATAGTCATATGGGGTCTAGTTTGATTCGACTTCGTGAGTACATTATTAATATCTAACTTTTATAATATTTGCTAATGTGAGATTAAAGATATTTGCAGTCAAAGATTCGCAAAAACCTGCATTGATTTACGTAATCAGGAACATCATTTTGAAACGGAGGGAGTAGTAAAGAACAAAGGAAATGGAATACTGCACACCAACCTGAATTTCAATGGTGAAGTCTCCAGGGATGATCTGACCTAGTTCTTCATTTGGAAGATCCTTCGGTATTCTGTGTATAAGGAGCTTTGATTTTTCACTGTCTGGCACCTACAAGTATGGCGTTTAGTTCAAGGAGACAAACTATATAATTACAGAATCTAAACATTTGGACTTACATCATCCTGAACTACAGGAATTGTGCTGTCAAATCCATCCTTTATCTTTGCTAGCACTAATTTCATAGCAGCACATGCATCATCAACACAATTATGCGGAGCACCCTTCTTGCGAAGTTCAAAACCCAACACAAACTGCAAAGACAATTGTCGAATAAGTTAGACAATTGAGCTTTTATAGCAACACTAAGCATCCTTCAAAGTAAATTTAGCGAGTGCAAATTTCCATTCATAATTTGCATATTGACAATCTAGTAGAGCGGGAAGATAGTAACATGCCTTGCACAAATCGTTCAAGGAAGGTCTTCTTTTCGTTGATCCATCTCCAAGTTTGAAGACAAAAGAGGTGTCAATGATTCTTGCATGATCAACCTTCAAAGCTGTGGAAAGAATTTATGACAATAGAATAAATCAACTCAATAGCACATATTAATAGAACAGTAGCACAAAAACAAGATAGAACACTAAACAGCTTACTTTATAATGCACTAACCTTTCAGATCATTACTGAGACTGTGCCCAACTAAAATAGCCCCTTGGGACAATAGCTTCTTCAACTTTTTCTTTAAATATACCAAAAAGAAAATTTTGAGTCAGTACTGGGAGTATCATAGTATGATAAGCCACACTCAATCACAATAAGGACTTGGGAAAACAAAATAGAAGACATATCTGACCTGTATATCAGCAAGAAAACAAGTGATGCCATCCAAATCTTCTGGAGAAACACCAGTAATTTGTGTCCTAAAATCTGCTACTGCTTTATTAGGATTGACAAATTCATGGAGTTTTACCTGATATATCAACAGATAAACATGGGAGTTATGATTCAAATACAGATACAAAAGCATAGATTTCCTATAGATATACCAGTAAAAAATTTCATACAAGATCGAGAAACCAAATAGTACAGTGGTACCTCTAAATCCTGATCTACCACGCATATTTTAACCAAGGCTTCAGTTCCATCCTCACAGAGAACCATCTCACAATCAACAGCCAGCAATGTCTCTGACGTTGCCAACTTTGACTTCTTACCAAGTTTTGTAACAACCCAATCCTGTTGACCACAAATTGGATTTTCAGTAAAGTTCCAGCTCTTTCATGGAATCATAATCATTACGTGCAACAAAAATTAAGGAGAATAAAAGGAAATTTCTAAAATTGACCTCCTTATATGATGGAAATGTATACTCAATTGGATACTGTGGATGTTCAAGTGTCAAACGAACCAACTTCTGCACTGCCACAATGATAAAACATGAGAGTTATAACGTTGAAGTTAGAAACTCAACTACCTATTTATGCAAAAGACCAAGGATTCAAAGCCACAGTTGAGATTGTCCAAAAAGCTATAATGTATAGCATTACTAGTAAACTTATAAATCTTGCTCTCACAAGAGGACAGAGGATGGAGAAAATTAGTGTTGTATAAGTATAACAAATCTATAGCAAGTTACAGAAAGCAACAATAAAACCAAAACCCTATTCCCAAAAAGGATGGGATTTGCTGCATGAAACATCCTCCATCGCAGCATTAAATCTACTCAATGCTATATGCTTTGGCAGCCCCACTTTCTTTAGGTCACTATTCTTTCCATTCATGTCACCTATAGGAACTATAGAATAGATATCAAAGTATTCCTAAGAGAAAAAAGTGCAAACGTAAGGAATTTGAAGCTCTTTGCAGCAGCATGACATAGGCAGCATACCATGTCTAAAGTTTTTTTCCAGGTGATTTAAACACTTTTGGTCACGCCAAAATGAAAATTGCCACAAGCCAAGTAACTAAAACATTCAAGCCCATACATATATTCGGAAGTTTTGAGTTGCAAACTTGCAGCATTGAATTAAACTATAACTGATGCATAATAGGCTAATAGCCAAACTTAATCAGAATGAGATAGCATCACTACTTTATGAGCTCTTGGTTTAATCCCTGACTACCACAAGTCACTTAAACTTTATCAAGAATGTCAAATTACCTGTACAGGTGATTCAGCATCTTCTGATTTCGCTACTTGTTTCACTAGGTCCCGGTTAGAATGACATATTAAGAGTTTATCAAAGTACTGCACAACACGAGTACCCATTACACAATGTCAGAATAATGCAGCAGAAATGACACAAAAATCAAAAGAGGGGTTAAATATGATACATTTAAGTCTTCCTCTTTCTTAAATGTATCTAAGAAAGCGCGTAACACTTCCGGGGTCCTCCGAGCTGGATCACTCATGCTTGCACCAAATTTTTTATCATGAACTTTCAAAAAATCCTTCCATCCTCCATTATCACCCTCCATTCCCTTCTTTTGTGACAACTTAACAATTTGAACAAGAACCTTCACAAATCAGTGTAAACAAAACAAAAATCAGATACCAAAGCAAACCATAATTTTGTATTAGCATCTTACAATATAGCACATATTTAATGTATTTACAGCCATTTTATAGTATATTCTTCAATTATAGTAAAAGTACATAACAACACTAAATTTTGAATACCCGTGTTTTTTTTTTCCAACAATACAAGTATCAAACAAATGATAAACCACACTAACTTAAGTATGGTTAACATAAGCATACAAATTATACACAGGCTTGAGCATTATAATAATTAGTTGCACAATGTATAAGAACTTTAAATCAGAGCAAAAATTCTGAAAAACCCAGTTTAAGAAAACACAAGAATAAACTAATTCAATCAGAAATTGATGAAAAATTCAACATAAATTCATTTTACATATATTAGCATTGCATTTGTAACAACCAAAAAAATCCCTAAAACAAGACCCAAAACAAGATTATAATTAAGAACTCAAAACGAATTGAAGAGAAGAGGAGAGAGAAAACAAAACTAACATCTTTAGAAGCAGTAGCAAGCTTCTGGTCCATGATAAAAGAACAAGAAGAAGAAGGTGAGAATGGCGGCACCTCCAGTAAGTGCAGAGACGCAAAAACAATTCAGGGATTTGTGTTTCAGTTTCTCTCTCCTCCTTGTTTTGGTTGGGGTTAACTAAACCTCGGCGTAAACCTGGTAATTGGGCGGGTCAATTACGAACCGGGTCGAATAGCAGTATTGCATGAAATTAATCAAAAGTATTAATGGGTTGGGCTGTTGTGTATCACTTGGGTTTCTTGTGTTCTGGATTGGTTAAAGCGGGTCATGACTCATGAGTGAAAATTTACAGGGCATTTGGTACGTGGAAATGAGAATTGGAGGACTTGACGATGGGGTATAAATTCGGGCTTGACAAATTTCCATCCAATTAACGCTAGGTTACACTACCCTTGGTACGGAGTATAAAATTTCTATTATGATTTTATGAGTTATGAGTCTTATAACAATGAGTCCATGAGATTGTTAAGCTAGTTATATTATGATGATATTAATATTATTGATAGATTTGTTTTGAAATTGATGTGTTTGATGCAAAGTTTTATTAAGAATTTTATAATTTTGATGAATTTACTAAGTATGGAAAATTATGGGTCATCAAGAATATTTCTTGTACCTTGGATCATCTTTATAGACATTATTGTTATTTGTCAATGGAAATGTTATCTTACTTCATACTGCCTCTTTTTTTTTCACTTAACATGTGTTTCTTTTTGAGAATTTTTTTTAGTCGACAAGTTTCTTTTTATGGTACAGTTTTGTTAGGTACAATTCCTACTTTACCTTTACTACCCCCATCCAATTTTGAGTTGGTACGACTCGTAGGTGTATAATTGTCTTTTTCACACCTTAATATGTGTGTCAAAATCAAGTGTTTCAATTAATAAAAAATAGAGGAAGGATAGAGTACTGAATCTTGCATGATATCTTATAATCATTCCGTATCTAATAACTTTAACAATGTTATGTATATGCATAAATAAGGAGTAAGAATGTGTGCATGAAAGATGGAGATCAACTCCTTATTTTATCTAAACAAACTAGGGCACTAATTAGTGTATTATAGGAGTTGGTGAGAATGTGAGATAGAAAAGTGAAAAAAAAAAAAAAGAAAAAGGAAATAGTTGTCATGTTCCAACTCTAGTGAATTACAACAATATGGTAGTCTAGTTTGATTATTCAACCATCAATATCATACCCAAAAACACAAGTATAATTTGTGGATGAGTTTTTTTTTTTTTTTTTGGTGTTCCACCCACTTCACCCTTTGGGCTAATTTGGATTCAGGGATCAGTTATAGGTGGTTAGGTTACAATCCCCTCCCAATTATTATTGCGGAAGATCGAACACAGGTTCTCCCTACCAAGTACAGTCCCAATCACCACTACACCAACACCCAATTGGTATAATTTGTGGATGAGTTTAATTAGTGTTACCTATGATAGTGTGAAACCTTTGTCATTTCTATATGCCATGGTGAATATTAATATCACTAAATTCATATATCTCTATTGTGTCAAAAAAAAAAAAAAAATTGTGGGTAAATAATAATCATTGATACCGATTATTTCATCATCATATACCACGAATGCACCAGATATATTGCAATATCTTGAATGTATAGGCGATCAATATCTAAAAGACTAAAAATGTACCATTGTTTCGGGCAATGCATATACAGTAATACAGCAGACAGAAATTGAAAAGTATAACCCACATGCCATATTTCATACAGGCTATTTACAGTTACACAGCATGTCAAAATAAAATGCATACTTAAACACTCAAAGCTCAAATTGTATTATGGTATACAGATTTCAGACTTTGACTCAGCAATTTTCAAGCCTATTATTGTTAATATTTAGTAGTCAAACTAATTTGCAACTTGAACTCACCTTTGTCCTTATTTCTGTCAAATTTAGGATTTGAACTTGTCAAAGTTTATACACCTTAAAACCAGAAATAACTAATAACTCAAGGAAACACAATAAAAAAAAAAAAAAAAAAAAGAAGACGAAAAAAGCAGCCAAAAGTCGTCTATCCAAGTCTTTTCTAGTCTTTACGTTTGATTCTACAGATTCTAGAAGCTTGGACCACTCTTATTATTTGGGTTAACCTAGATTGAGATTGAACCAGGCTTTCCAGGCAGTGCTTGACCTCGTTAAACCGACTCACACCCCATTACTTGACCCTAGCTGATACATGATCGACAAATTGACCTTAACTGAACCAGTTTAGTTCATGTGACTAAAGTTGTAATGACTGAATTTTCAAAACCACAATATTTATGTGCCTGCATCTTTTACTTATTCATGCCGTCATATGCCGGATACCCATTTTAGTACAATCAGAACATAGCCAACACAAACAAAGTTGAGCAATTAAAAGCTTCTGGGTTCTTAACTGCTATTATAGAATGTATGACCAGCTTCTTAATGAACAATCATAAAGGCCTTAAGATAACTGATGTTAGTTATGTGTACAACTTCCGGAAGTTAGTTTGACCAAAATTATTGATATGATCATTCTCACATCCATATAATGCAGTGGTTCAGAATCAATCAAACTTCCAGCCCATTTCCAGGGCAAATAAATAATGCACTTCTAACAGGCTGATAATCCTAAAGTAGCCTTCAAAGTTGGCTACAGAATCTGTAAACTTGCCATAATTGGGACAAGCAACAGGTGACTGTAAACTAAGCAACAGGTTGATCGAGCTGGAAATCTGATTCAATATTGAATTGAAAACTTTCTAGCATGTCTCTATTAACTGTACTCAAATATCCCTCATTCAATGTCAGGTCAGAGTTGTATAAGGCAAGAGGCAACTCGAATACTATGCCTGTCTAGCCTCAAATTAATATGGTGGTTACCAATGAGTGCAGGCTGGGATTGTTCTGTATTTTTATGTCTGTTGTATCAGCCCGAAATAGCTGGACTTCGCAAAAATTAGCCTCGAACGGACATAAAAAATACAGAACAATCCCAGCCTGCATTCATCCCGAGTTTCAATTTTGCAAAGTACAGCGATTTCGGGCTCACTTTCCCATGAATGCTATGAAATCATAAGCTCAAAAATAAAGGCAAATTGATTGAAGGAATCACAGGAAAGGATGGGGACAATGAACACTCATGAGAAATTATTGAGTACAACTTTCTATCCATTGGTAACCACCAGCAAACAAAAGGAGCGTCATTTTCCAACCAATTGATGTCTCATGACCACACTTTACAGTCACATAGTCACATACAAAGTTCATACATCACAAGAGGCCTTAACTTCTAAGGTAGATGTTAGGTCAACTACCCTTTCTTCTCCTAACAGTTCATCAAATAACTCCCCTTGCTAATATTTAAGTTTAATCCAGAGTAACCACCGTCCAACAATGCACATAATCTATTAATCCTGGACAATGATAAATTGACCCCAAGGACGGGAGCTTGTCAATGTACTGGCACATTGTATAAAAAAAGTGTGTACAAATTCAATTTGGCTCCCTCTCATGGATAAAGAACTCTGTGATTGAGACAATATTTCCTGTGAAACATCCTATTTTTAGCGAACAATAATAGCCTTGTTCAAAGTGGCAATCAATCAAAGATATAATGCACGTTTGTGGATAAATAAATGAATGTGCAAGTCCAAAAAAGTGCTGTAAAAAATAATTGAATCAATCCGATAAAAAAACTCAGAGAAGTAAGAACAGGTGAAAACCAATCACTACCTAACTACTTATTTAAGTGTAGAAGTCAAGAAAACACAAGATATTAAGTAAACTTCTTTCCAAATTTAGTTGAAAAAGGGTAGATTATCTGGACAAGAAACAACCAGATACGTCTGAAAGGCAAATAGAATGTACTGACATAATATTAATTTATGCAAGACAGTCAATTATCCCAAACCAATGGTACTCTAATTCGAGTACTCATGCCAAACATAAGTATGTGTTGCCACTCTGATACTCTGCTATGATGTATTTCCAATTTTTAGATCCAAAACAAGTTTCATGCATCTATACTACTATACCCACGAGGACTCGACACTACTTGAGGTGAAATGGTGAGTTCGACCAACATAGTCTCAAACACAAATGCAAAGCTGCACTATCAAAACAGAGAAACTGTATGCATAAAGGTCAGCATCAATTACTCTTTCAGTGGAAGCAGCAAACAACAGCTAAGATTATACAGCTATTGGAAGCATCAAAAGAAATCCATCAGCAGAAAATTAAACATCGTTTTATGCAGATTTTAATCAGTTGACAGTTGCAAATGCACCTTAGCAATTTAGCAGTATAAATGGCAGCCGATAAGGCCAAAGTAGTACATAAGTAAGACTGAACAATGTGAACATATATCTAAAGTAAATATCCAAAACACATCTTCCTAAACAAATGTAGCAATTTTGAATTCTGCACATTCACATTCAACTGGAATGAACAACTTCTTGAAACTACAGATAGATAAATAAACAAGCAGAAAGCATGTAATGTATCATATATAAATACCATAAAAAGGATGGAATGAAATAATTAAACTTCCTTTCTGTGAACTGCTTTGCTGCTTGAATTGTTCATTGATTTCCATTGGTATTACTGCTACCAGTCGACCACCTTCTCAAAGCACAAGCTGCTATATTTCTACCAAACAAGAAGCTAAACTTTGTCCTGAACAAAGACCCGCGGCCATTGCTCCTAGGAGGAGCCTGAACAGATGTTACATCAGTGTCCACTGCTGGAAAATCGGCACCATCTTCCTGAGCTCCTCCCGCTTCACTTGCACTAGCATCAACAGCCTCCATCTCATCAGCATCCAAATTAACAATCAATGACTCCCTCTTCTCCCTTAACCACTCAACAACATCTCGAGTCACATCCCTACACTTCTTAACCTTAATCTTGACCAAGTTGGGGCACCCCCAAGCCAATGCCTCCAACCCATTATCCGAAATGGGGCAACTCTTGATGCAAAACTTCTTCAATGCCGAGCATTTAGAAGCAATGCACGACATCTCCATATCGCCAATAGTCTCACTACTACAAAGCGCCAACCTCTCCAAATTCCGACAATTAGAAGCAATCACCTCCAAACTCGTGTTCGTGGGATTAATGCC